TTGTCACACGAAAATCTTCATGTAGATCAAAAAAGTATATATGGTGATATGATCAGTATATTTCAAACAAACAGACATTGTAGAAAATGTTTACATACTGACTTTGCAGATGACATTTTCTAGCATAGATGAAGAATTTTTTTCATTAATTTAAATGATAGTCATAAAATTATAATATCATTCGATGCAAATAACTGCAATCCCACATGTTCTCCTGCTGAATGTAAAACAGAGTGAATAAGTTTAAAATCAGCCTCTTCAAGAGTGGAATTTAACAGGAGATTTCAGTTATCATTTTCACAGATATTTGAGTTCTCTCCAATAGTTCCACTTAAAACAATCTCGACATTTGGCACACTTTTAGAATGCTGCTTTATTAAATGTCTTTGTAATCTTTGAAAATTTGTCTTATATTACTTGGACAGAGGTATTCATATTTTTAGGTAATGGTTTAATTTCTTCTATGGATTAAAGTTCAAGTGGGGAAGCATCCATTCTTCGCATTCTGTCAGAATCCTTTACTGATGGAGACAACTAGCTAGGAGTCTAATACGAAATCTATTCTTTGGGCTCCTTTACTAGATTTGATGGAGTAGTCAAATATAGCTTTCAAAAACTCTCCAAATTTCAACATATAAGTTAATCTTAATTTTCCTTTTGTCATAGCCATTGCATCAATCACAAAAGTTTTATCAATTTGTGGTATGGTTTCATCGATCTCCATTTCAAACCCCTTTTTAAGTTCTGATTTTACAGGATAAGATAGATGATCATTGTCAAACGAACTGTTTGTATCCATATAAGATCATAGTTTACTCACACATTTCTAGGCAAGGTGTGTCCAATTCCAGCCAATTCAATATTCCATATAACTGCATTCCAATTTACTACTCTCATAAACCCAAGGTCAATTTTAGATTCTAGAGAAACTAATGAAACTAAGGATCATAGGGAATCGCATGCCAAGTGCTTGTATTTGAATTTATGTGGATTACTCATTTGGTAGACACCTTTATCAAATGTTAAAGTGTTGTTGATTTTCAAGTTGTACAAGCACAGTGTCATGGGTGCTTTCTTTTCCTGACACAGTATAACATTGTGTTAAAAATTATCAAAGGCACCTAGTACAGTAGTTCTAGTTCATCATCTTGTATAAATTATATATCAGCAGTGAAACCTGTATATCCCAACATCTGACTATTGTGAACACCTACCAATCATCCCAACACCTGACTTAACTGAAAACCAACCAATCTGAACACGTTTCCCCAGTCCAATTTTTCCTTCCTCCTATTGACTCCTATGTTTAAAAATTGAAATCTGAACACCTCTTAATTTGAACAGTGAACACTCATGTTTGAAAAATCAACCCTTCTAACTTGACCTTTTTTTACCAATTATCACATATTTCTTACAAAATTTCTTAAATATTGTCAGTTTAACACTGAATTGTTATGATATCAAAACTTTTGAATTGGATTTTGGAATGCTATTAAGCTTTTTGGGTGGTCAGTATGAATATTATTAATAATTATTTATAATTTCCATTGAGAATGCATTTATATTTCTTCAAAATCCAGAATATTGCAGATGTAAAAACCTCAAAATTCAAACACTTCTAATTTTAACGCTTTTAGCTGGTCCAAATACTATATCTAGTAGCATTCAGATTAGAAAGATGTTACAGTAGTTCATGACTTTTCACTCCATGTATATGCAGCAGACTAACTGCTGCAACAGGTATATATTCTAAACCTGGTCTCTAAGCTATGATATCACACAATTTTTCAAATTTTGCACTTGTTTAAAACCTTGAACTTCCTTCAAACTCATCTTAGGTATCTTTTACATTTTAGTTAAATACTCTAAAAATATATTTCATCACTGAGGTATAGATGTAAAAAACATAAGTGTCATCTTTGGCTATACCTGAAACTTATAAATTTGAAAACTTACATTTACAATTCTTCAAATGTTGGACTTGTTTAAAACCTTCTAAAACTGTATATTCAATCATAGAGGTGTGGATGTAAAAACCATAAGGGTCAGCCATGGCTTTACCTGAAATTGGTAAATTTGAAACCTTATATTTACAATTTTTCAAATTTTGAACTTGTTTAAAACCTTTTAACCTATCTAAATTGTGTTTTACATATTAGTTCCATATAGGGATGGATCTAGAAACTATAGGGGTCTGCCATGGCTCTACCTGGAATTTGTAAATTTGAAACCTTATATTTACAATTTTTCAAATTTTGGACTTGTTTAAAACCTTAAATTTCTTTAAAACCCATCTAAATTGTGTTTTACATATTAGTTTCACACAGCAATACCATAAGTATCATCATAGAGGGATGGATCCAAAAACTATAGGGGTCTGTCAGGGCTCTACCTGGAATTCTTAAATTTGAAACCTTATATTTACAATTTTTCAAATTTTGGACTTGTTTAAAACCTTAAATTTCCTTAAAACCCATCTAAATTATGTTTTACATCTTAGTTCATACTATAAAACCATATACACATCATCATAGAGGGATGGATCCAGGAACTATAGGGGTCAGCTATAGTCATACACAAAATCCAGCTGTCTAAAATGTCAAATTTTTCGAAAAATCAACAATATTTTTCTCAGCTCCTACTTCTTCCATGGCTTTGCATCTTTCAGGGTTACTAACCCTGCTATTGGGCACTTCACATGAATTTTTTCAACATCTCACAATATCTAATTGAAAAATTAGGATCAAAATAGTAAGGAAATGGGTCACAAATTTGTGCCTGGGGTACACACTTTGTACTAATATTCAATTATTTTAGGAGTAATCAGCATCAATTATACTGCAAATGATTCATATACATAATATCTATGTATGTCACTTACAAACATCAAAATATCTAAGGTTATTTAGTGTGAACAGTTTTTTTCCCAGGGTGGGGTGTTTTGGGGGGTAGGGGGCTAACTCTTCAAAAGAAGAACCTCCTACAACTCTGTGAAGCTATCACCTAGGTGGAAATGTCATCCAAGACTTTCCCCTAACTGAAAATGCTGCCAAACCAACTATACACCATTTATTTAGAATTTTCCCTCCTCGCCCCTAGAGTAATATGCAAAAAAAGACCAGAGGAGTCTTGATTGTGCTATTCTATGGCAAAGAGCCTCTTTAAAATGCCGACTTTGAATAAACCTTCGTACATATTTTGATAATCATGGTAGAAGGTTTTAAATCATGGAATCATCTCCAAAACCAGAAAAATAAAGCCCTGGGGGATTTCAGTTCGATCCTCAAGATATTGAATTCGCTTTGTATCCTATTATGCGAAGAATGAATATTTTCTTAATTTTTGGTACATTTCAAAATGTTCAGAAATGTTCAGAGTGAAGGAAATGACATCCAAATTCTAAAATTTCCTTGGGCCCCTTGTTGGTTAGCTTCTGGTCTTCCTTGCTCATCCATCGGCCGACAATCTAACAATCAAGGCGCAACCCCTGACCTGAAATCCTCGATCCACACCGTTACGGTGTATGAAATTGCACGGGTTGAGTATGAACTCTTCTTAACGTTATTCTATGTGTTAGAGATATCACATAAATATAGGATATTAATATAGGATAATATAGGATGTTGATACAGTTTTAACACCATAGTCATACAATGCATCTGCTAAGTGTTTTTAGACATAAAGTTCCAAGTAGAATGGGAGAGACATTTTATTTTAGAGTACATTGTAAACTCATCTCTATAAGGGAAGTCCTCATTGAGTTTATAAAAAAATATTTTTATAAACGTTTACAATAAAATTTCAAAACAACATAAAAAGTTCGTTCGACAAGTATGCACTTTAACCTACTGCTCATTGGAGTTCTTAGAACTACCGCATGCCAATGCCTCTTGAGCATTATCGGTTCTAATTTTGTCATATTGAGGGGTGAGAGTAAAATTATTTATTTAAAATGCCTCTTAAACATATTTGCTTTTCTACCCACGCCCATCTCAATGATGGGAGTGGGTAGAATTTATTATGCAATCGTTAACTTCTTTGATGAACTAGAACTATGTATCGTAGAGACCACTTAAACATGTTCTTAAATCTCAAAGATTAGATTTATAACCATCATTTGTATCCAAATGTCCTTAAGAACTGTTATGACATTGGCACAACACCAAATACTTAAAACTTTAAATCTAAATTGTTTTTTTCTATTGTTTTCGAAATTTAAGCATATATGTCAAGTAAATCTTTAAGATACTTCGTATTGAGATTTTCATCTATTAAAGCTGCGTAGCAAATGAAAACTTTTTTTTCATTTTTTGACCCCAATGTCAGTAGACCTGCAAGGTCTTTTTTAACAAAACTGCTGGAATATCTTAGTTTACCTCGAGTGACAAGAGGTGGGGTGCCCGAGGGTTCAGAGATGACATACAGTATGTCTATAATGTAAATCGGAATCGCTGATTGATCAAATCGACACACAGATTACGTTATTCAATGGCAGTTCCAAAAGTTCTCAAAATAATAACTTTACTAAAGTCACATTTGTACACTCGACGAAATAAAATTCACCAAAGCTAGTATCGCATTGTTATTTATCGGCCTGAATTAGCGTTCTAGGGAGCTGTATAGTAGGTCATTGAATGGCAGATACCATCACTTGTAAGGGATAACTAATATTCAACCATTGAACGCGCATTTTCTTTGCGTATTTCGAAGCAATTTGGTATTGATTTTGATGGCTCAGAAAAAATCTGTAGCACAATATGAGACTATATGACATATCTTGGTTTTACTACAATAAGAATATGCATGTGAAGAATTGAAACCAATCTATCCACCTTGTATGTACTGGTAATTGATTTACAGTGGGCCTAGAATTGATTTAACCAATTGAAATGCACCTTTAAGCTTAAAATTTGCGTTGGTGTTTAGTTTTTAAACATCCTTGTCAAGTGAATATATAAGCATGACTTGCAAGGTTTTTGCCAATCATTTGGTGCATCGAGATGACCACGATGCTGGTACATCTTGTGTCGGCTCTTCTGCTCTGCTGCGCTACTGCAGATCAGGTAGGTTAACTTTTACATAATATTGATAGACTCAATTGTTTCAAATCTTATTCCACATGAAAAGTATGCTTAGTGATACTACGATTTATGGCAATGATTATTTTTAAAAATTACATTAATCAAAATATTCATGTTCAACATTGAAATCAAGGAATCTTTCAATGTTATGTTAGCTTGCATTTTTGCTTATGCAGAGTTATCTGTACACTTCTAGACGACAATGCAATATACCTATACTAGTTACGTCTATCTATGGGGTGAAACAAAGCAAACATTTCGTGTTTCTGCAAGTGTAGAGGTGGACGAGATAGGACGTAAGTTGAAAATATGTTAACCTTATTTCCAAAGAATTTCACTCCAAAATACTAGAATAATTTATATTTGGATGATTGTTGTTATTCTGATAGGTTGTTGTCTAACTTTTTTCAGCTGCGAGGGGCCCATACGAAGGAACCGAGGCTGTTCTTTATCTAGTTCATTTGTACCACATTAACATCGAGGCAATTAAGTAAGCTAGTTTTGCCTTTTTGAAATACATTCCGTGATATGGGTTTCCTGAATCAAAAGTTTTATTTGAACTACACTGTAGTTGAAACTTTACATAGATTATTTCAATGTAAATAGGCTTCACATGCATACATATTCTTATTGTGTAAGAGACAAAGATGCGTCATAGTGCTATAATAACATCTTCCAATCTTCTCAAGGGATGGTAAAGTAGTCAAAAATAAACCCGATGTGAAGAAACCACAACTCGATGAATTATATGGGAAACCATTCCGTTTCATTCAAAAGAAGAATTTAGAGATTGCCGAAGTACAATTTCAGAGGTCGGACATTGGTTAGTTGATTGGTTTATACACTGGTTTATAATTACATGACTGGCATCACAATGCATTAAAAGCAAATATGCGGGACATTATATTTTAAAATATATTGGTATTAGTATTCTAAATATCATAGTTTATCTCACAGTAGTTGTGTTTTTAATGCATTGGTATTTGTATCTATCACACGTTCTTTTATTTTACAAGTAATTTTGTGTATTGCAAGTTATATCGGGTGTCCCATTTCCTAGCAAAATACTTTTCTATATTTATTCTAACAATATCACCTCCAATGAAATTTGAGAATGAATGGATTTTGAATATTTGGGAAGAATGAAACAAATTGTCATTACCCGCAGACAAGCTATTTTGACTAATTGATGATGCTATCACAAACACTATGGATGTCTCATCACAGAGCTCTGATATGGGAATTTTTTCTGTGTAAAACCATCTCATCTGATACATAAATGTAAACACAAATTTTACTTCTGCCTATTAGTCATATTAGTCAAGTAAGCCACAATATAAGTACCTGGACCATCCTCTCATGCGGGCAGCGGGCAAGCTGTCTATAACAGAAATCTTTACCGGTCATTGTGACACTCAACTATCTAAATATTTAGAAAACACAGAAGCTGTTAATTTCAAAAAGGGTGTGCTGAGTGCATTCCAAGCACACAATGATGATCAAGATGAAGAAGATGTGGAGGAGACAGACGTACTTGGTAGACACACAACTCATTATAGGTAAATTATCTGGTATAAAATAGGAGGTGAATAAAATATATAAAACATAAGTCTAATGATTTTTATTAAGCTTTTTGCCAAAGAGTTAATATTATAATATGTACAAAATTGCAGAGACAGGCATCAATGGTGGCATGATAATAAACACATGTATATATTTATTTGTTAACAAATGGAAAATGGCGTCAGGGTGTTTCATTTTTCAAAAATGTTCTGAGATGGCACTTTTCAACAAAATACTCAATCGGCAGGGTGCCATCCTCCGATCACAGGGCTTCAAAATCCAGAATATATTCTTTCTTTCATCTTCCGATCACAGGGCTTCAGAATCCAGAATATATTCTTTCTTTTTACCCCCTGCGATAAGCAGTTAGCATTTCCCCGATTAAGAACTCGCAATCTGATTGGCTGTCGCAACACTGCGACGAAGTCATGACTTGTATAAGTCAGTGTGCATAATTAGATCAGGTGATTCAGTTTAATCGGGCGCTTCCAAATTGGTCATAGCAGGGGGAAGAAGGGGGTACGGATTCTGGATACCTGCTTAGGAGAATGACAGGGTGCCTGCCTGTTGAATCGAATCAAATGTGGCAAAGGCATTAACACAGTTTTACAAATAGTGCAGGTAGTCCTTTGATTTTTTCAACAAAATTGGATAAAGTAAAACTGGTCCGTTGGCCAATCTTTCCGTTTCATTGGATACATTGTGGGCAACGCCCATTTTTCAACGGAAAACATTATTTTGCTTGGTTTTGCTGCTCATATGCCAGGAACGATTGGAACCAATTTTCTTGTTATAAGCATATGGAAATACTTCAAAACAGTCACTCGATCGAAAGAAGATGGAAAATCCCAGAGCTCAAAGAGACACAATTACGTCTCTTATCACACTTAATAATTAACATGCTATAGGTGACTTGCGAAATCCCATTAACTTACCGATATGCGCTTTTTTGATTTTCTGAACCTCCTGACCAACAGGAATGCAGTATCTCATCAACAAAAACTCACAGAGCATAAATTATACATTGTTCACATGAAGTAAAAAAAAATATGTTAGAAATAGATAATTTGACTGATAGCTGTAATCGGGAGTTTCCGTGACAAGTCGTGCCTCCTCAACAAATCGGAAATTTTGAACGTAAAATTTCACAATAAAAAATCTTGATTTTTTAAATAGGAGTTTTAGTAAAGAAATCGGGATGAACATGTGGTATATGATAGTAAAAGAATTATGGCATCTATAATTCATATTCCAGGGTTACACATTTTAACCACACTAAGCAGATCAAGAAATCATACAAGACCGATGACATCAAGACGTTCGGCAATAATGACGTAAACAAAGATGGCGTTGACGTCGATGTCGAGGAAGAAACGACAGTTGATGAAACAAATAGAATAACCGAGACAAAGGGCGTCATGAAGATAAGAATAAAAAGAAATATAGCGAGGGTATGTTAAAGGCAGAATCAAATCTATGGGGTGACAAAATCACAAGCAACATATACAATTGACCTCCCAATATATTCCTTACAATCTCAAATACAATATCTTCCGAAGGATTCACGATGTAATATAATTTGGTGAAGTTATAATGGATTCAAAGTGCAAAAATGGGTGGAAAATGTTTGAATTCTCCCAAATGAAATAAAGTGTGCACTTTGGGGATTTTTAGAAAAAAATTAAAAGAAATGACATAAGCCAGGACTATTCTAAAATTGAGACAATTTTTTTGCTCGCTAGATCTGATTCTCTCTTTAATACTCGAACCTATTTACATTTCTGATCGTAACTAAAACAGTGGTTATTTCACTTTCCTCCGTTCAATTCCCTGATTTGGGTATATTTTATCAGATACCTCATATCAGTTCTTATTTTAAGTAAGAATTAAGACTTTTAAGATTGCTTCATCACATTACACTCTTAATTTCCAATGCGATAATTAATATTCTTTAAACATATTTATTTGCACACTATATTTTGCAAGGAAAAACGATACGCCGACGAAAATAGTCCTCACACCATATATGTAATGGCAAAAGATGTGGACATAGCCGATAACTTTGACTCAGATAACACTTATGATATGAAGTTTAATAATGAAACAAGACGTTCATCAAGTCGTAAAAGGCGCATGGCTGAACTTGATACAAGCAAAGGAGAGGATTCCTTTATCACAACTTCCCTAATTGGGGATTTCAGTCCAGGTAATTATATTTACCACCAAATAAACAGTTAATTTATTTAAAGTGTGACTTCAGTCTAAATTTTAAATGAATTAAATTATGTTTGGTGTGATATGAATGGACCAATAGTATTAATTAAGAAATAAAGATCGACATGTATTCTATGATCTATGGCGCAATTTATGACCGAACATTTTATTCTGTTCATTGTAAAAATACCGAAATCGCGTATAGTTTTTAGAAAACAATTTTGAGCTATTTAAGCTGCTATCTTTTGCTTGAAGCTACAAATATAAAATAGGTGAGACTTCAAATTTCTCTTTGAAAGTATACAACGTTAAAGAGGTTTACGACGTTCACAATGACATTTTTACTTCTCCCCAAAGTCAATCAGGTTACCAACCCCAAGAGCCTAACCTCAATATTTGCCCCCTTGCTAATTGCTGGATCCGCCACTGGATTTATACACACATCTATCTATACATGCACCTATGTCCTATAATCATTAATTTATACAACTTTTGTAAAAAAACAAACACTATACTAATTCCGTCAAATTTCCCTGGAGACAAATTTACAATTTTGCTTAATTTATGCCTACTTTGCTTAAATTTGCCTAAATTTGCTTAATTAAATGTTGCCAAATTTGCTTGAATTTTGCCAAATTTGCTTTTTGACAAAGGAGTGGTATCGATATGGAGAACTGAATTCAACAATGTTTTTCTCTTAAACCAATCATTAAAAACATTCTGTAAAAAAGGTATTTTATGTAATGTTGACTGATTGACAACAATTTAATGCGAAAATTATTTAGAAATATTTAATATAACTGTTTTTGTTAACATTTTTGGTTTTTCTAGTGCAATTGTTTTTTCTCCTTTCTACCAATTATTGAAAATGAAATAAAATGTCTCTCCGAACCTTGTTGGAACAAAATAGCATATACAACATGTTTTTAGACCTCTCAATATTATAGTTATACAAAGGAATTTTTGGTTAATTTTAAAAAAGTATTCAAAAAATTAAAACAAAATCCCCCCAAAATATATAAAAATCAAGATAAACCTTTTATTTCATTAACAAGATACTTTTTTAAAATCAACCAAAATCTCCTTTGTACAATTATAATATTGAGAGACCTAAACATGTTGTGTTTATGTCGTTTTGTTCCAATGAGGTTCGGAAGATGTTTCATTTCACTCTGGGAACATGATATCAAGAACAAAACAAGTGTTTGATGTGTTTTCTAAAACAATATAGATGAAATTATATATATACTTTTCCAATTATATTGTTACCATTCAAAAGATGACCATTAAATTGACAATGTTTTATGACTGGTTTAAGAGAAACGTGTATTCAAAAAGTTCGCCATATCGCTAAAAATTTGCTTTTATTTAAATGTTGCCTTTGCTTAAATTTGGTCAAATTTGCTTAAATGTGGTCAAATATCCCAAATTTTGACCAATTTTGTTTATTTGGAACATTTAAGGGAATACTAGCATGTAATTAACTTATAATTCTCTAATTTGGCCCATTATTTTCAAAGATCCATCTACGAGTAAATCCCTAAATAACTTCGTTTTAATCGTTCTAGATAATTAAGCCAGCAAAATAAATAGTCCCACGCCATAACAGAACACAAACTTACAGAAATTATCGGATATAGAACCGTCCACATTTAATTCAAGGTTAGGTTATGTTATACGGTTATTTTGCATTTTCAATCACTTGCGGAATGTGCTCTCCAAATGTATAGGGCGCAAAAAATGGCAAAAAGAGAAAACGAATTATGAAGTGAGTCCTGACCAAATGAATAATAATGTTTATTTCCTTGAATCAAACACTGCTCAAATAGAATAGATTTGATTATGTGTTTCAAAAATGTAGCCATTTGTGTAGCCTTGCCCAAAGTCGGTATTTTTACCATAATAGAAATCAAGATAAGTAATAGAGACCGACTTGAGGCAAGGCTATCATTTGTGTTCTATTGTTGAAACATCTTCTTCATAATCAATTCACTCCAGCCAGTTTATAGTAATATATTATGTGAGTGATATTTATACTTGCTATTTGTTCTAATAATTACAGCATGAAAAAGTAAGAATTTTTTAGTATGACTTTTCTGGCGTTCAAAATTTAAGTGCATTACGGGCATTGCATCACTGAGCTTTCACATGTTCAAAATTCGCTATTGGGAGAAGTAAAGCCTCTCAAATTTATTCTTTTTTTCTCTTTGCTCCGAGGGACAACAAGCCCCCATGACCTGTGTGAAGCATAGAAATTTTATTGTTAATCTAATCAATATTCAAAGATGACAGGGTTAGAATTAAAGAAACTCTGATCATTTTTGTGAAAAATTATCATTTTTTTCAAAAATTGATTGTCGTACTTTCGAGAGGTTTGAGAAGTTTTAGACCGTGTTCAGACAAAATGTTGAGACGCAGTGATACAAGAGGTATATCTGCATGGTATTGTCAATATTTCTACGAAAAAAGAACCATATTCTGTAAAATTTCGGTGTTACGACGTTTACGAGAACGGGGTGTGTATTAAAGGGAAACACGTGAGCTAATCAGAAGTACCAAATAGTGATCTTATTTCACCAACTTTGGTGTTTTGAGGAAGATACCACTATGCCAAGTACCCTAATCTGATTATATAAGATGAACACCCAACTTATGCTATGTCATGCTACAAAGACTGTTTTATATTTTTTTGATGTGATGCTGTGTTTTGTATAGTTTTATCAGGCAATGTGCTTATATGTGGTATCGTAAATATATTTACCTTAAGTAGACATCCATCTACTTACATTCTTACTGACATTCGTTTCTATCATGCATCTACTAACATTCACAAAAACTAACATTTCTGCCATTATGACGTCATAACTTCAATTCAATTCAATTTATTCATTCAAAATTACATCAAACAACATGTCATTAATTACATGGAAAAGACACCCCAAGGGACGTTTATATTCCATGGGAATAGGAATAACTTAGTTTGTTCAAAAACTGGTTTAAAGTGCCCGATAAACTATAAAATGCGCATGCGTCCAGGTGTTGATAAACTATAAATAGCGAAAATCCAGGGTTTGTCACCACAAGGTAAGTCAGGACGTGTTGAGAGAACAGCAAGTGTTGATATTGAATTTACATGTAGCCAGATAAGTTTCCTTATTGAAATTACATATGGTTATTAGCAATACTTTGTAGGTGCTAAATAATAAAATATTTAGAGTATATATGAGAGAAATTGGTCATTTCGAACCTGTTGAAAAGTTTGTGGCTCTCGGCTACACCGGGAAATTTACTTCCATGAGTACACACATAAATGTGGGGTTCCCCAAGAGGTACGCAACAAGGTGACCTGGCATCAAATGTGCGATTAAATGCTACTATCGAGAAGATAAAATAACGAATACGACAATAAGTTATTGCATGTGACAATTCCGAGCCTTCATCTCACTGAAGTATTTTGAAGTGAAAATAGGATTTTTGTTTTGATACATGGATTCAGATGAACGTAACTTTATTCTGACAACTAATCAAAACTGAACAAAATTGATTGTACGTAACAGACAATGTATTGTTTTACAATGTTTTGATTGGCTAAACGAATGAAACCAACAAATTATGACATGTAAAATGACAATTTTGAAATGTAAAATTTAAAAGTGACAAACACAACCTCCCTATCCACTCTTTGGGAGCCCTAGTAAATTAGTAATATGTACATGCAGCAGTTGTAGTGTACAGCTTATTATCACACTACGCTTTGTATTCTAAAGCCTGTTGTTTGTAATAACACTGTTCACTCAACGTATGTTTTGTGTGTGGGTAGTCAACGATAATCATTGTTTTATCCCGGTTATATGACCTCGGCAATTATAACAGAACCGTACTAAACGAAAAAAACGCAAATAAGAGAAAGCTTTCACACACATATAAAAAATGAACTATTCTAATCCGCCAGTATAAACTCTGTGCTATACGTAGTCGGGTCAGGCGCACACTTTAATCATTGAAGGCACTTACATCAATTTATCAAATTTTTTAATTACTGGAAAATTATTAGATCTTTCCTTGGAAACAATTTTAAGAAATCAGAAATAGCATGCATTATAGATGACAGAACTGGTATCCCAATTAATAAAAACCTGGACATAGCCAATTCTTTTATGAAATATTTTTCTGGTAAAAATCACATGGAGATCAACAACAACGACACACTACCAAACTTTCCATCGAGAACAAATTCCTTCATTATATCTGCAATTACCAACCAACATGAGATAATGAAACTTATACTTAACCTAGATACTTCAAAAACATGCGGTCCTGATAACATAACGAATAAAATGTTAAACTTAACAGCCCATACACTTTCAAAACCACTCTCTAAATTATTCAATAAGCTTTTGACAAAAAATATTTTCCCGGAAACATGGAAAATTGGTAGTGTCTGTCCAATTTTTAAAAAAGATGATAAGACAAATATAAAAAATTATAGACCAATTATGCTCCTAAATACCCTATCAAAGCTCTTTGAAAAAGTTCTTGCTGATCGAATTAAAAAACATCTTATACAAAATGATTTACTTTTTAAACATCAATCTGGTTTCCTGCCTGGCCACAGTACACACTCTCAACTTTTAGCTATTGAGCACTACCTGCAATGCACTTTCGAGGAAGGCAAAGCCTCTAAATCAATATTCCTTGATATTTCGGCCGCTTTTGACTGCGTACCACATAATCTTCTATTGCTTAAACTTAAATCTTATGGTATCCAAGGCCAACTGCTCAATGTACTCAAATCCTATCTGAATGACAGAAAATTCTTTGTTAATGTAGGTGGCGAATCTTCAAAACTTTCTGATACTAATTTTATTAACTGTGGCGTCCCACAGGGGTCTATTCTAGGGCCTATTCTATTTATCTTGTACATTAATGATATTCCTGACAACCTGGGTGGCCAGTGCTACATCTATGCTGATGATACCTCTTTACATTTTAAACTTGATCCAAAAGACCCCACTAATGTTGATGATTCTGTTAAGTCAAGCCTAGAAAGCATTGAACAATGGTCAACTACTTGGAAACTACAGTTTAAACCAGAAAAAAGTCATGAACTGATATTTCATAAACCTAGAACACGTATTAATGATATCAGTCCATCTAATCTTAATAATATGGAAATAGTTAGAGGTGATTCCCATAAACACCTCGGTTTCACGTTTGATCCCTGCTTAACACACAAGCACCATATAAGTAACATCTATGATAACGTAACAAAAATGTTGAATCCATTTAAAAAACTCAAAAACAAAATAGGATCTAGTCATTTGGAGACAATCTTCAACTCCTTCATATTGCCCCATTTTGATTATGGTACCATCATTTACAATAGTTCTTCCAAATATCTACTTCAAAGGCTCGATAGATTATATTATAAAGCTGCTATCTACTGCTCAGGTTGTATTCACGGGAGCAGCACAGATAAAGTACTAACGCTACTTCAATGGCCATCTCTTGACACTAGAAGAAAAATGTTTATAAACAACTTTATGTACAAAATAGTACATGGTCCTAACCCTAAATTTCTTGATGACATATTTGATAAATTCAAAAAACCAGAAACTCGAAACTTGCGTAACACTGATGAGTTCATTATACCAAAATGCTCTGAACGGTACAGAAATTCAGCAGTACCCTCTGCAATCTCCAACTGGTTAGCCCTGCCAAATACATTAAAGAGTAAAGCTACTATCCAGAATTTCAAGAAACATCAAAAACTGCTTTTCAAAAATCCAATAAATGTCATCACAACCAGCAAACTGAACCTCACAAGGAGCCATGAGATAATAGTAAATAAATTCAGGGCCGACTTTTTATTTAAGGCCCAACTATATGCTCATAACTTTAGCAATATTGACAACCCTAACTGTTCATGTGGACATCCACAAACAGTTAAACACTTCTTTTTCCACTGTGCTCATTTGACACATGCCAGGGATGAATTTAATCAATACCTGAAAAACCTGATCCCTGAAATTTTTGACAGGCAAATCTCTCAGCATAAATATCTTGAAGTTCTGAAATATGGCTCAACTGAAATCACTATCGAACTTAATTCGAAAATGATGACCAGGCTAGCTTCCTTTATAAAAGCCAATATATGATTTTCCCTCCTTAAACATCTTTTATCTCCAGTAACTGTTTCCCACGCCAAGCACCCCCCCCCCACACACACACAACCCCAAAACTACTGTTAACATTGCTTCTTATATTATATTTCATTAATTTCCATCAATTCTTCTATAATGCCATGCATGTATTTGGCGATTGAAGATTTTGTAAATGTTATGTAATGAATGAGGATAATTAATAAATAAATAAAAAAAAAATAAAAAAAAAATAAAAAATAAAAAAATAAAAAACTTACATCAAAAATTAAATCAAACCATTTGGAGACAATGTACAACTCATTCAGTAGACCTCATTTTAATGGCTCTTTATCATTCATCAACTCAAGAACGTATCAATATCCCTGGTAAATTACATTATCAGGCTGCCTTATTGTGTTCTGGATGTCTGCATGGTTCTGATACAGGAAAGGTTATTGGGGTCTTTAATTAACTGGTGAACATTATCCCAAAGGAGGACACAATACATTTTTAACTTCATGTTTGAAGAAATCAAATTCCTATAGGGTCAACTGCCCAATCTCCTTTTGCTAACGCAATATCACTGAGGAACAAATTACCTAAATCTCTTTTAGAACATCCTTCAAAATTTTCCTTACCATCGTTTAAAATTGAATGTACACTTTGTGCCAAAGAGAATAATCAGTTCAACGCCCCTGATGAATTTAACTAGGACTCGAGAAATCACACTCAATAGAGCTCGTTTAGATTTTTATTTGATAGCAAGACCTCCAATTTACTTTTAAAGACTCGGCTCATTGTACATGTGGCAAACCCGAAACACTAAAACATTTATTTTCCAAGTATCCTAAGCAAAGTTCTTATCATTGTCAGCAATTTGCTTCGTGACAACAAGACGTAGCATATGGGATCTCATCACTTGGCACGAACCCTTCTGGTCCCCTGGATACACTTTGATGCACAGTCGTCCAAAAACAGCTCAATATTATATTAATTTGTTATTTGTAAATGATGGCCAACCTATAATGCCAATATGGCGACTGGTGGCCGATAATGTATGACTTTACTTAACTAAAGTTTATACTACAAAAATGACGTCATAATATTCAATCATGACATGGATATCACTTTCAGGATAGTTAAGATGGCCTTTCAATGATACCCCACTTGACCACGCTCATTTCGGCTTGGTGTATGTTAACAGCCATGCAATCTGTATGGTGTACCCCTACACCAAAGAAATTTAAAGAAATATGAAAATCAAACTTTCCAGATTTGGCTGAAAGGACCTGTCGATAAGGATTGATTCTTCCTCCGTGCACTATCTCAAATGTAGCATTGTTCATATACCATTGTGTTCGGACAATGCCTAGATTGTTAATATGAACAGAAACTAAATTCAGTTTACTATTTAAATATAGTCCTGGGGATAGTAGCGGTTAGTGACACATATGAGCTAAACAGCAGTACCAAATAATGATCTTATTTCACCAGCTTGAGTGTTTTAAGGCTGAAACTACTATGCCAAGTGTTGAACTAGGCCTGGATACTTGCTGGTAATTAGATATAGGGTAAAACGTTATAATTGCCACCTATGGGAATCTCTTCTAAAGTCTCCAACCTTCGTGGCAACAATACTAAATCCCCATCTCAAAACTAATAAATAAAACATTTCCGAACAGTACTTACAATTCATTTAGACTAGCAATGCATTTGACTATGTTCCTCATAAACTGACGCTCTCTAAACTTAAAGTATAAGTATTAAAGTCCAGTTTTATAAAATTCTCCAATCGTATTTAATTTGTCAAAAATGAAAAGTATATAAATGTAGGTGGTCAATCATCTGATACTTATTCTAAAAACATATCAACTTTGCCGTCCTTTAGGGATCTATCCTAGGTCAAATTTTATTTTTGATCTATATATTATAAGTGGCGTAGCTGATATTCTTCTTGGAAAGGCATCTACAATGGTGGCACATTACTGTATCACCCTTCTGATACATCCGATCGAGATAAACATAAATTCAATCATGATCCTAATAGCATAACCTAATGGTCTCAAAAATGAAAACTGGATTTCAAGCCCGAAAATATTTCAAAGTGATGTTGTGTTTTCCCTTCTCCACCATCTTTAGCTAAACGTGAAAATGGGGAAATCAATTAAGGAATACTTTTCATACGCAACTAGGGTGCATTTTTGATCACATACCTTCCAACAAATATCAAATATAACCAACTCAAAAGAGTACAAAACATGCTTACTCCACCGAAGGCACTGACATCAAGAATTAACATTTTGAGACAATATACAACTCATTAAATAAACCTCATTTGTATTATGCAGACATCCTTATCAATCAGCAGATTTTGATTTTTAGCACAGTTAAGTAAACTACCCATTATCGTAACCAACTTTCTCCATATCAATAAGACCTAGCATATTCCATTTTTATTTTAAAAAACTACCTGGTCTCTAGGATATCCTTTGATGCACAAACAAACATTCAAACGTTTGTTACTAATATACACGGCGACCAAAAAACAGAACCCTCCAAAAATGAATTAACTTCTTTAATACATTTGTTATCAGCTTCATTTTTCATGAACAGAAATTACAATCTATGGATAGCAATGTGAGGCTAAATTCTGTATATAGAATTCAATACTTATCTTGCTATGATCAATTTAAAAATGTGCCCACTTTCGACAAAAAAAGAAAATTGAAGATTTTGTGTCAACCAAAGGGTTACACATCGTTTGTTTAAACAAATCACATTATTTTAGCTTCTTGTTAAGCTGCATTTTTGAGTAAAGAGGTTGTGATCTTTAATGAGGAAGTGTCCTAGCAACCTTTAAGCCATCTTTAGGTATGGCTGTACCTCCTTAGTGATGTTTTTGGAACTGCATCCAATGTAATCACACACGGTGTGTTCGAGTGTTCTCATACCACATTCTCTCTCTCTAAATATGTGTAAGCTGGTCATTATTTCCATTCGGGTGTTAAGCAATCATCCTTTCTCCCTCCTCCTACTCATTTTTAAATATCTGACTTCGATACCGCATGTCATGCAGTGCTCTTGACCCAATTCTGCTGTCATAATGATTTCTTGAGAATTCGTCCAACAGAATTTTATATAGCGTTTGAGGTGTTCTTGCTCAGTCAGGGGCAAGGGATTTCAGTAACCTGATTTTAACTAGGTGTTTTAAGCATTGCTTATTCCTAATTTTTTCATTTAAAATATTAAAAATATTTTATTTTACGTCTTCTTTGGATTTTTTTTCTAAATTTCTCATAAAATCTAAAAATATTATTTTGTCAAAATGTTGATTTTTCCGAAAATTATACGTCCATAAGTGTGATATCCTCACTAATATACAATGATTTATAAGAATATCACACGTATGGAGTATAGGACTGCGCAGTAAATGATGATGTGACCAAACACTTCGTTAGTGATACGTTATACGGGAATAATAAACATGCTATAAGTCAGTTGTGAAATCTCTCTATTATCTCATTTTGTTTTACTTAAGAAAACGCCAAGATGCACAGATACAATAAACTTTTGGAACTTGTAGAAGAAGAAGGATTGACGAAGATTCTTAAACGATTTTATGATACACCGACAGATGGAGATATATGTAAGTAATTACATGAAAATTTACTTGTAGCTATAAAAGTGGTTAAGTCTTGTTGACCAGGGTTCTATGTATCACACTTAATTCAACGGACATTCAATAGACATATTCGCGATAACAGTTCAGATGGTAGCCTAATTTACATAAATATCTCCCATGATGCATCGCTTAGGAAGGGACAAATTTTCATTGGCCCGCCGAACGAGGGGATTACTCTGAACGAAACGTCCGGAGACTGCAAAGTCAAAGGTCACGATGCGCTAATTCCATTGGTCGAGGATTACATCATAGCGTATGTATAGCATCATATTGGCGGAAGATTGCTCGAACAAAATTTCAACAAATTCTGATAAACAAGCGTGAATCTTGACAAAAATGAGAGTTTCTCAGCCTCCAATATTCCACCAGCGCTCGAGCATAGTTACATGATCCATTCTTTTCAATAATCAGGGAGATAATCCGAGATTCAAAGTTACATTATTTATATTTTTTCGGTCTTCAATGGCGTCTGAGCAAATTGTGGGAAATCAGTGACGTTATTGGAATTGGACGGCATTTCCAACTAAAGATTTCTTTGGATTAGGGGATTATAGTTCAAAAAGCCTTGTTGTATATCTTAATATCCTACATATCTATCATTTGCGCAAATGCAACACTACATAAATGTTTAATAAAGCCGTTGGGCGGCATTGAAAATCGCACTCCTGTGTAATCCAATGGGAAAGAACCCGGATGTAGACGAAGTTGTACCTCTCATGAGAACTCTTCAAACGTGAGGTGACTAAACTGAACTAAACTAAAAATCTATCGCGTATTGGCTTATTCAGTCAAATCTTGGTTGCGTTTCTCGCGTGGCTGAGAGGGGTTTAGCCTCAGATTAAAAGCTGTCAAATTTAGTTGGGCAAAGCATAATTCATAGTTTTAACGAAATAGTATTACGTGAAAGTATCAAGTTTAATCACATGATAAACGCCCCATGTTCGCAATCGCACATTTTAGTTTCTAATGCCTAATACAAACTTTTACAGTACGGCATCTAAGAGAGGCTTTAAATCTTGAGAACCTGTTACACTCGAAGCCTGCGTCTTCGAAAGACCATGGCAACACCAAACCTAAGAATCTGGAAGGTGCAACGCATGTCAACTTGATCGATAAAGTCGTCAAGGAAACGAAAACGGTGAGTTTTCAGCCACTGTATATGATTATCTCTAACTTTAACATAAAATTCCATAATTTCTTACGTTTTGGGTGGGGGTGGATCGGAATGAAAAACGATTTGGTGACATTGACATGTCAAAAAGTCAAATGGGGCCAAACGTCTCTACTTTGTTCAATTATTGAAAATGTCTATCTATGGAAAATATTTAATTGACTAATTGATATATCTATTTGGGGGATTTTGTTTTAAGTTTTTGCATACCTTTTATTAAATCAACCAAAATTTCATTTGTATAACTATAATATTGAGAGGTCTAAGAAAATGTTGTATATGCTATTTAGTTCTAACAAGGTTCGGAAAGACATTTTATTTCATTCTCAAGAATTGGTAGAAAGGACCAAAAGACAATTGTACTAAAAAACAAAAAATGGTAACAAAAACAGTTATATAAAATATATATAAATAATTTTCGCACTAAATTGTTGTCAATATGTCAACATTACATAAAGGACCGTGTTTTTTACAGAATGTTTCCAATAATTGGTTTAAGATAAAAACATTGTTTAATTCTGTTCGCCATATCGATACCTATCCTTTCAAAGAATTTCGTAAGTATGGTAAAAAGTTAGAAAGGATTGAATAGAACGACTCCCAAAATCGTGAGTGTGACTTTTTACCATAAATTGACGTCATAAATTTAAGAAATCCTATGCCAAGCAATGTGCCCAAGAAGGGAATCTTCCGAAACATGAAGTTAAATTGTTAGAAACGTAACATTGACATTGTAACATTGACATCATTCCAAATTGATTTAATCCAGTTAAATAAATATTTTGAGGGTAAATGCCATGTAAAATTTTCCATTGAATTATCAAAAGGCTAGAATCGGTTGTACATTCAAAAAATTGAGTCCAGACTTTATCATTTAGAATCTCACCATTAAATTTTAAGTCACACTTTCTCTCTAAAACAATTTTGTTCTCACAATTCTTGTGTTTTAAAGATGGCTCTCAATGCATTTAAAAAGTAATTTGGTACAAGGAGTTTCTCTTTCATATTTGATAAGGAGATCTTGTTTTAAACATGCTTTAAGTGCATTATATTGAAGAATTGTTCGGCCCTGTTCCTACCCTGTACAACATCTGAAATATATATAATGCCCTTTTCAATCCAGTTTTCAAAAAATAATGGAGAATTATTGAGAATTACATTTTCATTGTTCCAAATAATGCTCTCATTTATAAAATCATTGTGTTTCAACCATACATGTAATACATTTTTATAAATATTACTCAAGCAAACCTTCAATTCTATCAAAATCTATGTTTGAATTACAAATACAGAGTCCATTAATATGATTGATATCATGTTTCCAGAGTGAAATGAAACATCTTTCCGAACCTCATTGGAACAAAACGACATAAACACAACATGTTTAGGTCTAAGAAAGACATTTTATTTCATTCTCAAGAATCGGTAGAAAGGAGCAAAAACAATGGCACTAGAAAAACAAAAAAAGTTAACAAAAACAGTTATCGAAATATAATATAAAATATTTCTAAACAATTTTCGCATTAAATTGTTGTCAATCAGTCAACATTCACTAAAATACTGTGTTTTTTTACAGAATGTTTTTGATAATTGGTTTAGAGAAAAACATTGTTGAATTCAGTTCTCCATATCGATACCACTCCTTTTCACCAGTTATTCACAATATTTATGTGCCTCCAAGATTTTAGTAATATCATATAAAATTTTGAAAATGTTATGACTGATAAAGAACCGTGCACCTTTTTCTTTACAGAGGGTATATAATTACATGCTTTCAATAGCGTTTCAGCTCGATTGATTCGGCATGAATATCAATTGAATGATATTATACCCTTCGCAAAATTGATGAGAATAGTCTCAATCATGCAATAATTGGCTCAACATAAGAGCGAATAACTCGTTTTCGAAAGAAAAGGCCGCGAAAACAGACACCTGTTTACTTTATATCCCCAATATCATGATAAAATAAGCTTTTGAAAGTGTTGATGGCCATCATATGGTAAGATGGCATGACAATATCTAAATCGAGTAAAATGGTTTGATTACAACTTAAGATAAAGACTTTCTGATAAATCAGAATGGTTGAAAGGGTAAATATTCTGTTTTAGCACTTTGACATTAGCAATAGCTGCAACATAAACTTATATTTCCTGTAATATCCTATGTATTTAGTGATATTTTATAAAATATTTTGCAATGTGTGAAAAGCATTTAAGCCTAAGACTTAATGCAGTGTGGCTGTTTCATTCCAATTGGGCGTTGTTTCCTGAACTTGTTTGAAACAACACCGTTGAGGAAAGATAACTAGTCCGCAATGTACTGAGTCCATGCCTTAAATAAAAAACAGTCTCGATCACCGGCAGAAGTACTAGTCAGCCAATGGCAGCCAATACGTTTTACAATCATGTACGTATTGCAGGTGGTGGCATGGTGTCAGAAACAATGAATTATGTCTATACTAGAGTTGCCAAACATTGATCTGACGTAAAACAAAAGAATGTGACTATGGCTTTCATAGGCTAGATTTAATAATAAATGTCATATTTTGATGATTCTCAAATATATTACTATAAAATGATATTTTTTCAATAAAAGAATGGGTATCGATATGGAGAACTTTTTGAACACACGTTTCTCTTAAACCGGTCATAAAGAACATCTAAAAATGTAACACATCGTCAATTTAATGGTAATCTTTTGAATGGTAGCAATATAATTTGAAAAATATATATAGACTTTCATCTTTATTGTTTTAGAAAACACATCAAACACTTGTTTTGTTCTTGGTATCATGTATCCAGAGTAAAATGAAACATCTTTCCGAACCTCATTGGAACAAAACGACATAAACACAATATGTCTAGGTCTCTCAATATTGTAATTGTACAAAGGAAATTTTGGTTGATTTTAAAAAAGTATCATGTTAATGAATTAAAAGGTTTATCTTGATTTTTATCTATTTTAGGGGGATTTTGTTTTAATTTTTTAATACTTTTTTAAAATCAACCAATAATTCCTTTGTATAACTATAATATTGAGAGGTCTAAAAACATGTTGTATATGCTATTTTGTTCCAACCAGGTTCGGAAAGACATTTCATTTCATTCTCAAGAATTGGTAGAACAGAGCAAAAACAATTGCACTAAAAAAACAAAAAAATGTTAACAAAAACAGCAATATAAAATATGTCTAAATAATTTTTGCATTAAATTGTTGTCAATCAGTCAACATTACATAAAATACCATGTTTTTTACAGAATGTTTTCATTGATTGGTTTAAGAGAAAAAACATTGTTGAATCCAGTTCTCCATATCGATACCACTCCTTTGATTATTGATATAATTTATTTCAGAAATTGAGCGACTGCCTCTCTCACTGGGATTTGTGTAAAGGTATTGTCAATCTGTACATTGTGGGTGGTCAAGCTGCGGGCGAAAAGGTAGGTGACCAGTTACCAATCTGAATCCGTTCTAGTCGCTAGTAAGAGATGATCAGGTGAATTTGTAAATACGGAACAACTGTTGAAACTCGGTTATCAATTCATTTTGACGCAAAACATCCATTTGATACCAACTGCCAAAATCAGGTTCGATTAATACATTTTTTAGATGATCAAAGTAATGTTGGCAATGGACATCTCTGACACAAACCTCAATGAATTCCTGTCACTGTTAACCCCAATGAAGAATCCCAGTGACGCATTAGTGAACGCTGTCAGAAAGAAGTACCAAGATGAAAGTTCAGAAGTGAAAACAACCTTAATGTTCACACTGACTGCATTAGCCGGAGAAAGATCTGTTAGTGAAGAATTGCGAGCAGCGATAACTAAATCAATGCTTGAAAAATTATCAACTATCAACAAGGACAACTGTCAAGCTGATGATAGCATGTTTGATGTGTTAGAAGCCACTGGAAACCTCGCAGATCCGGCGATAATAGATCGTATGATACAAATAGGAAAAGATTGCATGAATAAACCCGCGTTGGTTATGGGAACAGTCCACGCCTTGGCAGAAATTTGCTCAGATCAACGTGTCGTTGAATACTACACGTTCTTGATTGAAAATGCCGTGTGTGACGTTAAACTAACAGTTATTGGAAGCATGCGGGATAAAATAAGTAGCGACATCGTCGAAGGCCGGCATGGGTCATGGCCAAGAGAAGAATACAACAGTCTTGACTTGAGACTGAAAGACATATACAACGAAAACAGCGGAGATTTCCATTGTATACATGATGAAATTTTCAACTATTTTAGTGATAAACCCGATAACAGAGGTGAAGGATTTTTAACATCTGGTGGTAGATCGAAACGTGGTTTATCCCACTATTCTTGTTCAGCGTGGGGACCTTACGGCTCTCGATATACGAGTATACAATCTTCATCCTCCTTTTCATCAGATAATTGGAAGTATCCCGATAACAGACACTGTTTAGCTCATTTTAGACTCGGAGTCAGCAGTGCAAATGCAAATCTTTACGCAGGGGCGTTTGCTGGCATCAACAGGAAGTATTGTAACTGGAAGATCTTTGCACGAGTGTACGCTAATGCAAATGTTCTCGGGAAGAGCTTTTATATCGCGTCAGCCCACTTTTATCAGTACAAATATGGAACATTGATTAACTTGCGTGCTTACTTAAAGATCGGATATAAGACTTATGTTGATTATACATCTCGAATCAAGACAACATTATCGCAAACGTGGTCAAGAGATTGGCATTGGGATATAGACATATGGGGTATTAATATATACGTTGCTTCTTTAACTTTGAGGGTTACCATAAAACCAAGAGTAGACTTCAAGGTGAAAATCAACCCCTGCAATTCGGGATGTGCAGTTTGCGCAACTGTCACCCCCAAGGCCACTTTGCAAATATCTGGAGGTGCAGCTGTATCCGTATTGGTAAGTTCTGGAGAAAAAGCACACAGACTAGAAAACGGTAATTCTACGAATACCTAGGTAATTCCCACCTCACTGAGTCACTTCCCACCTCATTTTTGTTATTAACCTTTCTATTAAATCACGTCCATTTGAATTCGTAACAAATACATTCTAAACTCCGGATATTTTTTTTAATAATATTTATTTTTCTCCCACTTTTCAATATACCATTTGTAAATAGATAGCTTTGCTTTCAGTACATTTTTTAAAATTATTTATATTTGATTGCCAGTTATATTTTGGAAATATTTATACCAACATTGAGCAATTATTTTACAATTAATAAAATTACGCTCTAGATTATCTTATTTGTCACAGTTTACGCATTTACTTGATTTTGAAATAACTATTCTAAATATTTATGTTTCAAAATATTACAAGGATATCTGTTTAATGTAAAATCTTTTAGCAGAAGATGTGAGTAGCTCCTATTATTCTTGGTGTTACTTGGTATCAGGGAAGTCCCGTTAGCTTTCCCTCATATATGGTCCTACTCGCCAAGGAGGATTAAAATCCATGGGACTCCAACTCGATATATATACATACATACATTAATCTCCAAGTCATGTGTTATTGCTGATCGTGCCTGTATATTTCTACTTCTGCAGGGAGGATGAACGATCTTCTCCAAAGCTAGCGTCGTTATTGTCTGACATTCAACTGGATTCACATTCACAATCAGCATTTAAAAGATTTGAGCTAATGTCCATTAGTTAAAGCCACAGATATCTTAATGATCATTTCGTTTGTGTTTTGAATTTTTTGTTAGGTAATAATAGCAACAGTTGAGATTCATATTTTGAAGTGAGAAACGCCGACTCAGGGACTGACACTAGCTTTGTTGGAAAAAAACCTGGAAGCCAATCCCCTATAAACTAAATAAATCTATTACATGACTTTCAACAGTAAACTGAGGGTGTATATTAAGAACTTGGGCAATATCAAAACAATCAAAAAAATGAATTCCATCAAGACAATGAAACTGTCAAAACATCCAAAAAAGACCATGAATATGTGTGTCAAAAAATAAAAAATAAAATAAAAAAAATGAATTCCATAAATACAATAAAGTTGTGTGTCAAATAATAAAAAATGAATTAAAACCTAGCTCTAAAAGCATGAATGTGTGTGTCAAAAAATCAAATAAATGTATAACATAAATACAATAAACGTGTTTGTCCAAAAAAATAAATAATGAATTTTACCCTAACCCCAACCCACAGATGCAAGATAAACAAGAGAAAACAAAAAGGATTTTTTTTGATTTTCTATCAATGATTTGACAGTTTTGCATTGGATATTTTTGATTTTTTGAATTCTTTTGATATTTTTGATCAATGTTTTGACAATTTTGATATTTTTGATATTTTTAACTTCACCCAAGTCCTGGATATACATGTAATTAGCTGGATTCCTATATAGTCCTACAGACCTTATTTGGATCTACAACATTGATATCGCGTGACCGAATACCAGCACTGGAATTTGCGAGATCTCCACCTCCTGTCTTCCAGTGTAGCGCAACTTATCGTCCTTTGCAAAAATGATTAATTGACCATGTAAGGTATTGCAACATATTTCAGACGGTCATATATTGGATTTTGACTATTTTCTGAGAATATGTTACGCCAAAGAACTCCAGGAAGAGCATCATTCAAAATAGGTTAAATTAATCTAAGAGCGAGGAACTCTATTTGAGGCCAGGGTTTTATTTACAAAATCGTATCTCACGGAAAATTGATAAACGTTCACAGTAACGTCGGCTCACAAATCGTGTTACAAATCGATTATATATCAAAATATAAGTTTCTCCCTTTATATACATAGAAATTGATATGACAAAATAAAATTGTCGTTTTATGAATGCGTGGCGATCTTAACTACAATACCTCTTCATTAACAGACATACTTCTTAGCACATGAACCTTTACCTGTGTACCATTCAGTGTTTTTCTTTAATAAACGGTGAGAAAAAACAAAAAATGGATTTTCCTTACGCCCATTTGAGTAAGAACGAAAAATAAGTATGAAACTTGTTAGGATTCGCCCATACATTGTCAAATTCGAAATGATACTTGAGATAAATACATTCATTTTATAGGGACTCAAGGGTGGACTGGACGTTAACGTTAGATTAAACTATCTGGTTGATGGCGTTGGTAAGATAGGTGTCTACTCAGGCGTCTGCGTTGGACTTTACCACGGACATGACCCAATGACTGTCTTCTTTTCTGCATGGTATCAATGGTGGTGGGGAGGCAGACAGACATGGAGCCCGAATACACTTTCTTGGCGCGTGGCGTCGGCGTCTAGGAAAACCATTTACTGGAACTGCCTAGCAGGATGGCCATGGTATAGACGTCCTGTCTTCACGATTGCATCTCGTGACCAGATACAAATCACGTAAAACAAGTGAACCAGAACACTGCTAGCTACTGCGATTCGTTTTAAGATTTAAGTTCTTTCATTTGCATAATATGCAAGGTGGGCTAAAAACCTCTATATTCTTAATTATCCCATCGAACGAAGTTCGGAGGGATAAAGGGAACACCTCGGTCGCCTCTCTCAGGGCGTAACTCAAATACTATTGGCCCGATTTTTTATCACATTCTGTATACATATACCCTATGGAGCTAGAAGTTCTGTTTGAAAGCCGATTTTCAAAATGGCCGCACGTTTTAAAATGGCCATTTTAGTGCCGATTTTACAGTTATTTTACAGTTATTATTTATATAAAACTACAATTACACGTTGCACGAAACTGCGGACAATAAGCGTAACATTATGGCGTCAAAATATCGAAACAAAACAATGAGCAATGAGCCTCATGACGTCAAAAACGATGAGCGTCTCATCTTTTTGAAGTTTAGTCTACTCAAAAGGAAAATACTTCATCCTATCTTAATCATGGTAAAATTCACAGGATAGCAAGATGTCGAGGACAATAGGATTTAAAATGTTTTTGAATTTTGAAAAACGGTCAGGAAATCCACTTTGGGCGTTACTAAAAATTGATATGTCACATTTTTTCAAGTCTCTAAAACCAGCTCTTATTTTAGTAATGTTTGCAAAATTAACAAACTAGTTATTGTTTTGTAAATTTTGCCGTGACAATTGTGTGCAGTTAATTTTTTTAAATCAAGGTAAACGTATTGCTAGCCCTCTAGCCCCATTCGCCTTCAAAACCTTACACAATTTAGAAAATGACAAAAGTGTTCATATAAGACAATTTGAACCAAAGTCGTTATGCAATTGTGACGTCATAAATGCAATAAATTTGAAATTTTAGTGGGATTCTGATCATTATTTTAAAAGTTACCCCAATTTCAACGAACCGTGTAAGCGTCAAGTGTAACGTCTTTCTGAGTATTTGACGATGTATGGGTATATTTAACCTAAAAAATATGGTATATAAAACAAATGGATAGCTTTTCAAATAAGGCATAAATTAACGCTTGTCCCCAGGTCCGTTAATTAAGGAGATTGCCCCAGGTCCGTGCACGTCATAAATAGCAGTAAGTATTAAATGTCAAAAATTATAAAGGACATTAAAGGAACTAAATGAGTATTATCGGCACAATGAAGTTTTACTTTTGATCTTCATAGTACTTCCCATGGATTGATAGGTAGCTGATCTTTCATTTGACAGCAAAAACACCCCAAACAGTCGGCATCAGTGTTGACACTAGATTATCCAAAAAATGTTTTCAATCTATCAATGTATATATATGTATGTCAGGTTTTAGCAATGCCAATGAAAGATGGCGAAGTTTTTGCATGACATTGTCCATTAATTTTTGATATAATTATCAACTATACGCCATATTTTAATCCAAGAATTTTTTAAAACATTACACCTTGTGAAGCGTGGTAATTCACTTTTTTCGATCTCTGAACTTCAAATGCTGTTTTTTATGCGAGTAATTTCTTTTTCACTTCAGTATTATACCAAATTAAAGATTTATCATATTTGATTGAGTGTGTGAGTAACATTTCTCAAATAATATTTTACCCTTTTTCTTCAAAAATAGTCATATTGCCTATTTAGTAAACTAGAAATATAGATATTTGAGAAACAAATGACAGCCATTTTGAAAGATGACGGCCTTTACACGATATTTTACGTTTTTTGCTTTAACTTGAAATTCTAATGGATCGTTCTCGTTCATATTTAGTATGTGAATACCATAAGCATGGTACACTGAATAGTGACCCTTTGGGTAGAAGGCGGCTATTTTTCAAAATCGCCGCCATTTCTTCGTGTGTTAATTTACGCTTTTTTACTATAACTCGAAAGGTAGTGGAACGATTTTGTTTATATTGATATGTGAAAACAGTAAAAGTATGGCAAACTGTCTAATGACTTTTTTGGTAGTAGGCGGCCATTTTGAAAAACGCCACCATTTTTACATGTGTTATTTTACTTTTTATTTAACTCAAAAGAGACTTTGTTTATATTTGGTCTGTGAATATTCATGATTATGGCTCATGCCATTTTGGCTAGTAGCCCGCCATTTTGAAAATGGCTGCCATTTACATGTACGTGTGTGCAATTTTGTTGAAATTTGATATGTACCTACTTAGAAGCATATTCACTTTCTGATGACAATTTGGCTAATGAGCAACCATCTTGAAAATGGTGGCAATTTTTATGTGGGCATTTTACGATTTTTGCCATACACTTCGTTTATAAATTGCCTGCCATGGCTGTTCAATGGGATTTGCTACGCTTTGGCGTTGCTGTTGTCTAGTTTTGCTTAATCATTTTTAATTAATTATTGGTTTAAATCATTTTTGCAAGAAATGTATTCAGTTATACAACTGTTTTCGCAACAGTAAATCTTAAGTCATACTTTAATGGTAGCAATTTAAATACACAATGGACTTTGAATGCAAATAATGACGCACAAAATTCAAATATGGTAGCAAAGGAGTTGCAAACTATTTGTGCATATAATCAAGTATGTCTTCACTATATCGTATTTGGTATAGGACACAAACTAATGCCTCTGAAGCGGAACATTTAGTATTGGTGGTTTATACTCTACCATTATCGTTTGAACAATTCTTTAATTGTTTTTAAGAGCTATGAATAGTAGGATACAAGTACATAGAAAAAATCTGTATAGTCTGTATTACGTAATCTGAAAACAAACTACATGTGTATACGCCTTTTATTTGCGATGCTACAAGGGTTATTCAAAAGTTTTGCACAAACATGTCTAATTGTGAGAATAATGGATTAATCTTGTTCATTGTTGGTATGTATGTGCCCATATCTTATTTCCTTACACTGTCAAAGTTTCATGCATATACGCCTACTACTTATGATTTTACGGTTGCTATACTAACCACGGCGATGACCATATCATTTTGTAAAATATAACTAATAAAACATAAAGATCAATGTTAATGATGGTTCAGACATTTGCTTATGGACTGGACGTAATGCTACAAGTATAATGCAATACTGAAAAGGAAGACTATATGTTAAGTACTGTATATTTAGATTAAATATAAATTAGTTATAATATAACCTGATTAATAGCTGAAAGAACAAAGATTCACGGAATCATTTCAGTCTATAAAGGCATTCACAAAATCAATTCAATCTAATGATGTAATATGTACCGTGGGGCCATTGGTTCAAATTTTGAAGTAAATGTATCTCAGGAAGTATATCGCTTATGGTCCTGAAATTTCATATAAGCTTGTAAGAAGGGTAATACTATATTTGTATAAAATTTCACATAAAAGTATTGAATCTCTTCTCTTGAAAAGCTGTCGTGCAAGACTTTTCGAACGACCCTTGTATATATATTCTTTGATGTGCCTTGATTTGCTTGGAATTAATCCTATTTTTAGTTTAGTGCTAATAAAATCATACATTTTACTTATATATCAGACTTAATGTCTTAACTTTAATTTCATGATGTTGACGTATATGGTTAAAATGAAGGTTACTTTCTTTAAACATACAAGTGGAATAAAAAATGTGGATATTTCAAGTCTAAACCGGCAATCCTTTATCTCCCGTTTTGAGTGAAATAAGAGCGTATTAATTTGAAGTTTGTGTTTATTCTTACAAACGATCATCAGCAATTTAGCTGTAGTTAAAAATAAAGTAAAGCGTATCGTGATCAATTTGATCTTTTTCAGTTTTAAATTGCGATAATTCTCACGTTCCTATGATAAATTGGACCCCTAGCTAGGGAGGCGCGTTATAAATGATGCGCTTCAAATTAATCATTATAGTAAAAGGTTTTGGCGCATGTAAGTATAGTTCAATTTGGCGTGTTATATAGGATTTGCTTCAAGTTCATGATTATAATTAAAAAGTTTTTTTTGCGCATTAGTACGAGGGTTGTCCCAAAAGTAATGCACTATATACTCGAACTTTATTAATAATTTCCATTATTTTTTTTAGTGAATATTCCTTAGAGATATTTTGATTTTAATCACAAATTAACAAATACAATTTTGTGTAGCCATAAGAAGTATGCTAGAAAAATATTTTAAAATACTAAATTACTAGATTTAATGGATGCATATTGTAAAGTATCCCATTCCACATTTTCTCATAATATAGGCCTTTGCATGTAATGTTCTTTTGATGCCTTCTCACCCAGTCCTGGTACATTCTTGGCAATTTCGTCCACTCTGACAAAGTGAGGTGTTTGGTCTCCCAGGTTTCGGGTTGTCATCCAGGGTCGAATCACCATTTTAAGATATCTTCTGCCACCTCATAATTGTCGTTCTTTCTGCCCTTTACTCCTTACATTACTTTCTCCATGGCAGCATAAGTTTGTGCAGAAATTTGGCGACCGAACGCATGTTCTTCTAATCAGGTTTGAGAATTGGGGCCATTTTTGCAACTTCTTGACTGTGACTGAATTTGAATTTGTGACTTAAACTGTGGTATTATGCAATCACAATACTAAATTTCATTATTTGAGCTTGGTAAACATCCTGCTGAATAAGTTTACCAATTTCCCTAATATTATGATTACATAAAAGAATGAAATATAAATAGAATAACACTTTAAAGTTTTTCACGATGAGAAAAATTGGTACCTGCCCCATCCATCTCTACCCCTGTGTTGCTATAGCAACCATTCTAATACTTAACATTATTGAATGATGCTGAAACTTCAGGATATGACACTTCAAATGCAATGTACACACAATTTCAGCTGATTTGAAGAATATTAAAAAATGTTAGAGCATACAGAGCATAGTGCATTCCTTCTGGGAAAACCCTCGTATAGTTCAATTTGGCGAGTTGTTTATAATGTGCTCCAAGATCATAATTTTATTTAGCAGTTCCAATTTCCCTTTTCTATAATACTATACTTACGCAGTTCACAAAAGGTTTTAAACCTACTCAATTGGCCAACTCTTGAATCAAGACGCAGTATTCAGATTAACAACTTTATGTTCAAAATTGTAAATGGTACAAGTCCTCCCTATGTAACTGATATTTTTGACAAATTTAGAAACCATGCAAACAGAGTATTGAGATATAATGAAGCATTTAAAATGCCCATTAGATGCTCAAATAGATTCTCCACCTCAGCAATACCAGCTGCAATTTCAAATTGGATCAATCTTCCACCTGCTATTAAATCTAAGAATACTCTTTCGAATTTTAAAAAACACCAAAGAGTACATTTCCAAAAAACGCCCTCGATTTTGTCAACAAGCCAGCTTAATCTAACAAGGGTTCAAGAAATAGTTCTCAATAAAGTGAGACCTGACCTATACTTCAAAGCCCAGTTCTACGCTCACAACTTTCAGTCTATTGACAGCCCTAATTGCACTTGTGGAAAACCACAAACTCTGAAACATTTTCTCTTTCAATGTGACTTACTTACTATACAAAGACAGCAATTCATGGACAAACTCACTGATCTCGAACCAAACATCTTCAGTCATAATCTCTCTCAAACTGATTTCATAGCTATTTTGAAAACAGGAATTCCCAAATTAAACATAGATGCAAATTCCCAAATACTACTTCTCATTGTTAATTTTATCAAAGACAATAGCTAATTCCCTCCTTCTTATCCATCTCTAGTATCCTCAAGTCCCGTCACACCTGCCCTAGTCCAAGACCCTGCCTGCTCTGCCACTTCTACTTCCACCTGCCCCCTATTCTTATATAATGCCATTGTGGCGATTTAAGAATTTACATTCTGTATTTACATTTTTTGTATTCTATTGAAAAAAATTTAATAATAATAAAAAAAAAAAAAAAAAAAAAGTAATTCGTTTTTAAGAGTGTAGATATCCTGAAATCAGATTTGCCTCGGACCGACCATCTCCCTTTGATTTACATCGGATTGAAGATTTTTTAAAAATCATCTTTATCATCATTTTTCGGGCTATTGTAAGTGAGGGGAAAAAATTGGAAAATTTGGAGGCATTGGAAATGAAGTCAAGTTACATTTTCATCAATATTATAAGTATTTTCCTCGAAGGTTATTTAGATAAAAATTCAAACACAAAGAGCCTTTAACAGTCACGTAGTTCAACGAGGGGGCTACGTTTGCCAAACGTTTGGAGGGAAGTGTAACTCAAAGAGTGTCAGCTCTCATTACTCAAATGCGATACTGTTTGCATTCAACTTACGTTGAAATAACTGATTCTGACACAATGACAGACTACTGTTCAACTGCAAGTTGGTAATAAAAGGTTTGTAGAATAACTGACACTTTCATTGTCATCATAGGTATATGAAAATGCTATATAAAGTTATGCACACAATATCCCCTGTTATACTATACAATAAAGACACGGATGTATAAACCGATAGAATACATCATAGAAATTATAAATTGATGCATTGATTGATTCACACTGTAGAGAATTCGCTACAGTTAATTAAATAAAAGTAAAAATTTATTCAGTTTATACAGTGAAGAAAAACAACTACGATTAAATCCTTTACAATTTACCATCAACTGATGTTTTCATTATGGTCATATATATTTAACAATTGTAGGATACACAGGTAGAAGAAATAAAAGTAGATATGAATGGATTTAAAACTTCCTTATTGCAAAATAACAATATGATGAAAGTTTTGTTATACCTTGGTTCATCAAAGGTTTGAAAAATGCAGCTGCTCTTTGTTTTTTTTCAAGATTTTAGAAGAAACAATAGTAGCCGGGACGGAAGCCAGATCCCTCTTTTTCCTCATAACTTTTTCAACTTTCAATAACTTTTCATGAAATTTTCTCTGGATAAACTTTAAAGAAATTCTAGGCCATAAAAAATAACAAAATACGTATTGCTTCTGGGACAGGATCAAACGACTTTAACATATTCTACCTATTTTGTAATTTAGCAATCACATAAAATCATGGATTATAAAACCGGAAGTGTTTTATCTAAGGTCCGTGTGGAATATGTTATTTATTTCAAATTTTGCTGTGGGTTCGATTTTAAATGCTTCTATGTGATCTTCAAATGCTTATTATGGTTTCTATATGTAATCATGTTTTGACTTTCCCGCTTCATAAAAACAACATTATCATCTTTTACTCGACTCGAAAATTCATTCCGGTCTATCGTAATAAAGATGAACTGAAAATTGTCGTGAACACCTTTCATTCCTCAGTCTAAATATCGCTTTTCAAGCTTTGATAGACGACTTTGAATAGGTATCGTGTTTATTCTGGATTTATCAGGAAAAAGGTTTTTGACTTGTTCTGTCTCTGCTAATATCTTACAAAATACACTTTTTTTTATCTGTCTCTGTTTCAATTAAATACCAGTTTGAGGGACCAAAAACTTATACAACAACGACTTAATGTTCAAACCTATATGTACTCTACAAGCCCGTAGCCAGGGAGGGGGTAGATGGGTTCGAGCGAACCCCCCTCCCACCGGCCAAAAAAATATTTCAAAATCATGCAGTTTTCACCATTCTGAGCACATTTGAGTAATTTTGGCCATTTTTTGACCAACATTGGCACAAGTGAACCCTCCTGGAATTTTTCAAAAAGTGACCCCCCCTGGTAAATACTGGCTACGGGCCTGCTATAAGAGCTTGTTGAAGATTGGGAATTAAATACCGAAATACGACGTCAAATAAGTAATACAAAAGTAATTACTATAGTTGTACTTGTTCCTATGAATATCGAACATTCTTGATTTTCCTTTATACTGTTTCTGAATCTTATGTTTAATTACCAAAGCTCATCAGAGAGAAATGATCATACATTCCATTCACGAAAAGGTATCTCTAGTATTTTAATACGGTATTCAAGCTTTAATCTATGGGCGGACATTGGTTGGTAGGCGTTTCAATGGTGTATATAAAACACTTATAAAAGTGTACACAGTACTACATAATGAATATTGTCATAAACACGCATTATTCCAGAGGAGCATTTCATTATAAAAATAACACATAGCATTGTGTATTTTAATCACACGTAGATCACGTATATGATAATATAAATAAGGTAAAATACGGATACCGAATTTTGAATTACGTGTTTCGCTATCTTATTGGTTGGAAGGTCAATACAATAGAACTATATTAACCAATAAGAATGCATCTTCAACCTTAAAAATAGCCTGGGTATTTTGCTAAGTTTTGAAACTTCCTGGTCTTGTGCTTTTATAAGCATGGTTCGCATGTTATTTGCCAAATCATGCAGGGAATTTCGAAGACCACTGTCATGATAATCCTATATCTCGTATCGGCTCTTCTACTACATGTATGTGGGGTAACAGCCGAACAGGTATGTGAGACGTTTATTTGCATTTGTAAATTAGTAAATATGATTACTTTGATTGTTTTTATTATAAATTCCATCAGAAAGCAGTGCTAGCAATATATATATTCTCAGTTTCAATATGACATTTTTCTTTTCTTAACATTGAAACCAATGAACCTTAGAGCCCCAATACAAAGTTAAAACTACTTTGGCTTAAATTGTAGTCTTACCCAATGTTATCAAAGTGTGATATGTGAAAAAAACTATTAAAAAGTGTTTTTGGAGGACTTTTTGTTAGGAAATTTATTTAAAACTCACCTCTATAGGTCACGCGTATCATTGAATAAGCGATAATTCACACCAATCCTCGGCGTTCATTCTCATGCGGTTTTTGCCGAAAAAATTAAGAAAAGTGTTAATAAATAAGCGAGAAATGAACTCATCCGTACATGAAAATGGTTCAGAGAAAAACGTAATTGAAAATTTTAGTTATCATAGAAACCAATGGCTCAATAATATTTTAAACATAATATATTCTTCCTTTTAACCTGGTTAGACAATCAACATTGGTTTATTTTTTAATTAGTTTAGCATATTTAAAAGAGATTGACATAGACATTTTTTCATTTCTTCAAAAACCTGCCACCTGAGTGATGTAATGATGAGGTCACTTAGGTTGCAAAATATTTTTGATGTGCTAAATCATTGAAGTGGCTTTGACCAATCTTTTCATTGGTGTTAAAAAGAACAAGTTTTTTACTGTATTGTGGAATATTTTGTGTTTTTCAATTTCAACTTTTATTTCAAAATGGTGGAAATTTGAATATTTGAGAAATGAAAAGCTGGCAACATTTTTTATATTTTGTTTTTTTACAAAATCTCTACTTTACATTTTTAGACGACGTTGCAGTATACCTATACGAGTTTCGTTTATCTATGGGGTGAAACGAAGCAAACATTCCGCGTTACTGCAATTGTAGAGGTGGACAAAATTGGACGTAAGTATAGTAAATGTACACCTAAATTCAACAAAGCTTGTATTACATAAACGTTGTTGGTTGCTTTTTAATTAATGTGTCCATCTCTTTTCAGCTGCCAAAGGCCCGTACGACGGAACCGAGGCTGTTATTTATCTTGTCCATTTGCATGATGTTAAAATCGACCCTATAAAGTAAGCTTTCAAATACCTTATTTGATCGATTTGTCACTTGTTGTTACAAGCTAGAGACATCTGAGTAAATGATACTTATTAACAATTAATCTTAGGAATTGCAGCAGTTAGCTGTGAACTAGTTTGTAAGGGCTACTCGCGATATTAGATCTCCGCTACAAATAGGTTAGCAATATACATGTATACAACAATATATACAGGGTGGGCCAAAAAACGCCACTTTTTTTCAAAATGCTATAACTTTTTTAATTTTTGGAACAAAATCATAATTTGCATACCAAATGAAACTTGAGGTTGTTATCTAGCCATGGATCATGAATTATACACTTTTACTTGAATAAAATGTGTCACCAGCGTCTCACTTAAACATGTGGCCTGCCATGAGAAATAAGCATAATTTGCAAAATGTTCCTGAACTAATACGGCCTGATGATCGTCAAGCTAATAGTCCTGATGCAAACCCCAGTGAGTATAGGGTATGGGCAAGTCTCCGGGAGATTGTATGAAGGCACCACGTCTAAAAAATTGCTCAACTAAAGCTTGCAATAAGGCACGTTGAAGAAAAATATAGCTAACATTTCATTGATACTGCTATATCAGCAAGGCGACTAAAACTAAAATCTATCATCAAATAGGGTTAAATATAATCCAAGTTGAAGTACTTGTTACATTATATTATTACTAAGATCCCTTGGCATTATATAACTGCAAAATTTTGGGTATGTAGGTTGAAAAATAAAAAGTTATAGTGTCTTGAAAAAAGTGGCGTTTTTTGGCCCACCCTGTATACAGCTGCACATATGCATGATGTACTAAAACCATGATATGTTATATTCTGTAAAATATGTTTAATCCTATTACCTCAAAATAATACTCCAGAGATGGCAAAGTGATAAAAGTTACACATGGAACAACAAGGACAGCCGGTGAACAACTGGAGGAGCAATCACTTGATGAACTGTACGAGAAACCATTCCGCTTCATTCAAAGGAAGGATGGGAGCATTGCTGAGGTAGAATTTCAGAAGTCAGACTTAGGTAATTGACTATTTTTATCAAAGTGGTTGAACTTATTGATTCCTGTATTACACGCATGTATGCCTGTTAGAATATCAGAATCCAATCATGTTTTGTTCAGCTAAGTAAGGATGGTACTCAGTTAACTGGAGCTAGGACAGATTTAGGGACATCACTTCTGAGGTCCTTTGGTGGTTTTTTGTGTAAGCTTGCCTCTGCTAATACATACATATACTCATAAGAGCAATTATTAAGAGTTAGAGACAGTTTAGCCAGTAGCAGGGACCTGAACTTTGTTGTCTTACGTACAGCGGCCCAATAAGTAACAAATGTCTATACATTAGGGCAAGTGTTGCTTTTTTACCAGCTTGATGAAAGCACTAAACTATCTGTAAACATTTTAGAAAACACGGAGGTTGTTAATTTCAAAAAGGGTGTACTGAGTGCATTCCAAACACACACTAATAATCGAGATGAAGAAGATGTGGAGGAGACAGACGTACTTGGTAAACACACAGCTCATTATAGGTAAGTTATAAAATATTAGGTGAATTGTGTTGCGAAAAATGGTAAAATATCAGATCAGGTTGTGAGTTTGAATGTTGCTTTATTATGAAATAGATGTAGTAAAACATCAAGTGCTCATGAAAAAACGTATTCACGTGAATCCTTAATGGCTACTTAATTACGATTATTCATATTCTAGGGTTATACATTTTGACCATATTAAGAGGATCAGGAAAACATACAAGACTGATGACATCAAGCGGTTCGGTAATGATGAAGTCAACAAAGACGGCATTGACGTTAATGTCGAAGAAGAACTGACAGTTGATGAAAGAAATAAAATACTCGAGTCTAAAGGAGTCATGAAGATAAGAATTAAAAGAAATACAGAGAAGGTAAAGATATCCAAACTTAAGAGAAGTTATACGATGCAAAGTGTTTCACAAGGGCACGTGGACAATTTGGAAAGCATGTGTGCATGTTGCTTTCAGATTTTCAGGCATTTCTGATCGTATCTAAACGTAACTGGTCCCCGTTACATTCAATTTTAACAAGGATTTTAGGGCATTTCAGCACCTTAAATCCCCATAACAACCATATTTGATCAGGCTTTTCAAATCTTTTATTTTCAATGTATGAAACTAGAATGTCCAAGGGAAACATTGAAGCGCTTTGAAAATTGCTGTAACTCCCGTAATCATTTTTATTATTTAATCATTGTTTGCACGCTCAGAACTATATTTTTCAAGGAAAAGAGATACGCCGAGGAAAATAGTCCTCATACAATATATGTAAGGGCAACAGATGTGGACATTGCTGATAACTTCGACTCCGACAACACCTTTGATATGAAGTTAAAGAAAGAAACAAGTCGGTCCTTAAATCGTAAAAGGCGCATGGTAGAACTTGATACAATCAAAAAAGATTCTTTCGTTACAACCTCACTGCTTGGGGATTACAGTCAAGGTAATTAGTCCCCACGGTATATTGTGAATATTTGATAAAAATGTTAAGTTCTGAATGGAAAACAACATAGAGGATCAGCAATAATTCTGACATATCTTTCAAAATATGAATAACATTTATTTGTGAAACTCTACATACCATGCTTATATTTCAATTAAGGTATTAACAAATGCAAATACACAGACATCATGGGTCTTCGATCATATTTGTAATGATGCAAATTCATATAATACAGTATAAAACATTTGTTTGATATCTCATCATGGATATGATACATTTATAAGCACTCTATCCAATGATTTTCTCATTCTTCTTCAGAAAACGCAAAGCGCCATAGATTCGATAAACTTTTGGAACTTATAGAAGAAGAAGGGTTGTTGAAGATTCTTAAACGATTTTATGATTCACCGACAGATACAGATATATGTAAGTAGAGATATATTCATGTGTACTTTGTAGTTAATAGTGGTGTTTTATGTTGATTAGGGTATTATATGAAGGGCAATATCAATCGGGAGGGTTTATGACTACTCATAGTTGACTGATTTATTTGAAACTCCAACGAATTTCAATAACCCAGATGCGAGTAGAAATAATCTTGATTTACGTCATTAAAAATTCAAAACTCAGTGAAAGTAATATCATATTTGAAATCTACGTGTAAAATTACATCTAGAAATGTGGTTTTAAAAAGAGTTTATCAACTTGTGAAAAATTAATTTTCTTTGAAAATGTGACTTCTAGCTCAGGGAGATTCCCCATAGACCCCATGCTATAAAATCACAAAAAATGAAATATCTTTTCTTTTAGTGGACAGATAATATTTTGCTTTACTGGACATATTTTCATTAGTATAAGTATCAGGCGCATACGGGTTATATGAAAATTGAGCCACTTAAATTGATAATATTCAAGTTTAAGGGAACTTTCTTATATACCTGCCATGTTAATTGACCCGAATCAGCCACCTGGTGGTGAAACTGGTAACTACCTACTCGCATTTGGGTAATTGTAGAAGCACCTTCTGTGTGAACTGTATGACACTCTACTGGATGGGCATACACCCTTAGTTTCACAACGAATCTTTATATCTTAGATGCGTTTCATTTGTAGCTCGATAGTACAGGGTGGTCAAAAACGGAACCCCTGTATTTTCTTCATATCTTTGTCATTTTAAGAATTAACTGATATTATAACATTTGTACATAATTTAGTTTCCTACCCTCCTTCCATATTTCATGACCATCAGACTGATAATCACAATTTTACAGCACTTTGAACAACATGCTTCAGGTTTGACCATCATCGCGCTGTAGGCAAACCTTTATAGTTGCCACTGACGCAAATGCATTCCTCAGCAGGTATGGTCTGGATGATACAGATGATCTTACTTTTGAGGTCTGCAATTGTCCTGTTGTCATTCTAATATACTCTATCTCTGCTATATCTCCAGAGGTAGGGACATTTTGGAGAAGTGCAGGTTTCCAGACAGTGCAATAGTGATAGCTGGGGCATATTATTTAAAGTGCTGTAACATTGTGACTACAATAATGACTTTAATAAGCCAAAGATATGAGGAAAATTGTGCATGGATTTCCGTTTTTTACCACCCTGTATTTGCAAAAGAAGGGAATTCATTTGACACTGATCCAGCTACATGTAAACCTAAATACGTTCGTTGGGCAAACTTTTAATGTAAAGCTTTGATGAAATGTTAGAATTGTCGGATTCATGTTTAATGGATATTCACGCATAGATCAACTGTAAGTTCATTTTTTTATTGAATGCCTAATGCAAACCTTTTCAGTACGTCATATAAGAGAGGCGTTACATCTTGAGAACCTCCTTAGTGCAAGACATGTGTCCTCCAAAGATCATCACATTAACGTGAAGAATGGAAAAAGTGCACCACGTGTCAGCTTGATCAGTAGAGTCGTAAAGGAAACGAAATCGGTGAGTTCTCGGAAAATGTATCAGGGTTTACCCGTTACCTTGACAAACTCAATGTCAAATTAATGTGATGTAATGATATATTTTAGATCAATATGAGTACAGATACAAATATTCGCAATGCTTCATGCATCTGTATTTATTTCAGAAATTGACCGACTGCATCAATCACTGGAAACTGTGTAAGGGTATCGTCAATCTGTACATTGTCGGTGGTCAAGCTGCAGGTGAAAAGGTAGATCACCAGTCCTTACACATAATAGAGAGATTCTGCAACTCACTTATAGGATGTTTGTTATTCCAGTTTAGCGTAAAACTTATGAAGCGCATGAATACGTCACTATTTATTGCGCAGCTCAATACGCCAATAAGTGTGATTTATAAGAATATCCTACTTATGGACGTACTAGAGAGATGCGCAATAAATTGGATATTCATGTAAACCCTAACATACTCATGTATGTGGACCTGATGGCGACCCTATTTAAAATTGATAGGTTGAATATGTAAAGTACTTTGTTTGTTCACAGATATTATCTTTATCATCATTTGTTTTGATAACTTGATTAATTACTGATGAATTAATTCGTCAAAGCATGTGCATCATTTAGATTTTGACAACATGAATTACATACAGCTGGACTTACAACAATGCAAAACTGAAATGAACTGAATTGATTTACTTTACCATGAAAAGTCGTTCCCACATTATTCAATTTAAGTGGATGATTTTGATTTTGGAAACATTGATTTTGGAAACATTTTGTCAAAATCAGTTCAATAAGTTGAAACTCGGTTTAATATTTGCAGATGATCAAAGCAATGTTGATGATGAAACTTTCTGATAGAAACCTCAATGAATTCCTGTCAATGTTAACCTCAATGAGGAATCCAAGTGACTCACTCGTGGACGCTGTGAGGAAGAAGTACCAAGATGAAAGTTCAATAGAAGTGAAAGCAACCTTAATGTTCACACTGACTGCATTAGCCGGGCAAAGATCTGTTAGTAAAGAACTACGAGCAGCAATAACTAAATCAATGCTTGAAAAATTATCAACTATCAACAAAGACAACTGTCAAGCTGATGATAACGTATTTGATGTGTTAGAAGCAACTGGAAACCTCGCAGATCCGGCGATTATAGATCGTATGATTCAAATAGGAAAAGATTGCACGAATACACCCGCGTTGGTAATGGGAACAGTCCACGCCTTGGCAGAAGTTTGTTCAGATCAACGTGTCATTGACTACTACACGATTTTGATTGAAAATGCCGTGTGTGACGTTAAACTGACAGTTCTTGGGAGCATGAGGGATAAAATAAGTAGCGACATCGTCGAAGGCCGGCATGGTTCTTGGCCAAGAGAATCATTCGACAGTCTTGACTTTAGACTGAAAGAAATATATAACGAAGACAGCGGAGATTTTCTTTGTATACATGATGAAATTTTCAAATATTTTAGTGATAAACCAGGAAAGAATGCAGAAGCTTTTTTGACTACTAGCACCAAATCGAAACGAGGTATTCTCAATCACTATTCATGCTCAACATGGGGACCTTATGGCTCTCGATATACGAAAATGCAATCGCCATCCTCCTTTTCAACAGATAATTCAAGGTACCCTGATAACAGACACTGTTTAGCTCATTTTAGACTCGGGGTCAGCAATGCTAATGCTAATCTTTACGCAGGGGCGTTCGCAGGCATCAATAGAAAGTACTGTAACTGGAAAATATTTGCACGAGTCTACGCTGGTGCAAATGTTCTTGGGAAGAGCTTTTCGCTAGTGTCAGCCCACTTTTACCAGTACAAATATGGAACATCGTTTAAGTTACGGGCTTACTTAAAGATCGGAAGTAAGACTCATGTTGATTATACACTCACGTACAACGTGCCATCCTACTCGCAAACGTGGTCAAAATATTGGCAGTGGGATATTGACATATGGGGTATCAATATATATATTGGTTCTTTAACTCTGAGGGTTACCATAAAACCAGGTGTACACCTCACAGTGAAAGTCAACCCCTGCTATACGGGATGTGCAGTTTGCGCAACAGTCACCCCCAAGGTCACTCTGCAGATATCTGGTGGTGCATTTGCATCTTTATTGGTAAGTTCTGCAAAAAGGGCAAACTAGAAAAGGGTAACTCCATAAATTTATATAACCAGACGATCAATATGTTCAAAATATAGGCAATTTCTCGAACGATTCATATACGCGTCCTCCATAAGTTTGGAAATTGGAAGTCCCTGTTTGGTTAAACTATAAAAGTGTCTTTTTGATGATATAAAATAACAATCTGCCATAAGTTTCAGAATTTATGTGATTGTGGAACAAAATAAAGATCGAAACATTTGATTATTGACAGGCTTTAGAATATGTTGTATGACAAAAGATTAGATTCAATAAGTTTCATATATCCTATGATTTTGCGTAAGGTTATTTTTATCCACGAGTCAATATCAAAAGATGGACGAGTGAGCCTGGCAAAGCGAATGAGTGCAGATATTGATAGCAATTCGTGAATTAAAATGATATCAAGAAAAGTCATAGGATGTTTTATTTTATCCCCCCGCCCAGCCGTTGGTGTAATTATTTATAGCCTAATTTAAGGGTTAAAGAGGAAGTTGAAATGATACATAATATACACATAATATATACATGTGCACCTTTTAAAGGCAGTCATTAGGGGTGGTATTGACGTTAATGTAAAGCTGAACTATCTGGTTGAAGGCGTTGGGAGAATAGGTGTCTACTCAGGCGTCTGCGTTGGACTTTACCACGGACACGATCCGATGAATGTCTTCTTTTCTGCATGGTATCAGATTCGTTCAAAAATCAAAATACAATTCAGCTGGTGGCCGGTATGTATGTATATTCCTGCATCGCAATTATCAACAAAATGGTTGATCAGAAAATCCACCTGACCATTTTAAAATTTCTATAAGCGAATTTTTGTAACCAAAAACAAATATACTTTCTATATATTTTGAATTTGGATTGCAATCATGAATTGCAAAAAATGGTTTGGGGAGGGGAGGGGCGTTAGACGATGTTTTTTATGCGTTGGATCATTGCTTTAGTCATGTTAATCCGACTGGATAAATTTTAAAGCATTTTAACTTCAAGAAAAATCAGTTTATTTAATTATGAGTAACGCATGGGTTTAGTTATTGCAATTTGTGGCATTCATTATGCCTTGATTCTGTGTGTTCAGCAACTTAAAGGTAGATTGTTCGTACAACTGAATTTTAAGAATTATTTGCTACTGTCATCGTTGAAAATAACAATAAGGTCTTCTAACAATAATAATCGAAATAAATTAATGTTGGATGGAGGGGAGAGTGAATGGAGGGGGAGTAACGTGTATATAAGACACGATAAGACATGCTACAATACTTGGATTTATTCCTATAACTCCCAATTTTCCCATTTTTCATTCTCCAGAAAAATAATATCCAGTTTCTTACTTACTTTGTTCCATCGTAAAGACATAACCCCCCCCCCCCTTCATTCACTCTCGCCCCCCTCCATCCAAATTATTTCATTTCGATTATTTTTTTGTATAACGCATGGAAAATAACACACCATCTTCAAAACACGTTAAACGACTTAATGAAATGAACTATGAAAATAAAGTATCTCTTATTTTAAGCCTCGCTTTAAATTTGAATGGAAATGGGGAAGCAGAAAGACATGGACCCCGAAAACAACTTCTTGGAGTATATTGTCGGCGTCTAGGAAGACCATTTACTGGAATTGCCTTGCAGGATGGAAGAAACCGATAACAAATGTATACACGATTGCATCTAAGGAACGGATGTCAGTATCATCGGCGCGATTGTCTACTGGATAAAACAAATATGAAACATAATTATTTGCTAATATTTTTTGTGAATAAATCAAAAGAGACATCATTATTAGTTCTTCTGTATTCAGTTTAATAAATTCCCCTTTCCATTGACAGGTTACGACACTTTTGATACTCTCAGCCCACCCAGGATTACATTATTCTACCCTCCGATTTAATCGATCTGAAAGCATAAACCTGACATCCTAATGTCTGCAAACTTTTTATAACACTAAGTCTCAAGGGGGGTCATACGTAATATCAGTATTAAATTGAGGCTTCGAGTTTCATCCTGACAACTTTATATTTTTGATTAGATCCCTAGCGTCCATCAACCTTTCATTTTTATAAACCTCTGAAGATTTATCTATCCAATTTAATGAACAATTGCAAATCTACCCCAGTCCATATAATCCCATTATTTCAACATTGTTTTAACTCATTTTTGCAGGTTTTGAGATAAGTATACTATCTTCTTCAATTTTCACGAGGAATTCATTTCTGAGGTCCATTTCAATACATCTCATCTCCTTTTGAAGATATCCAGTGCCATATTGTTAAAAGTACAAAATAAGGAAAAGGTTGTGAGGCCCAACTTGTCATGTCCATTTGAGTAGGCAGCAGAGCCAATAAGGTTACATAATTTTGATTGCGTGACTAAAAGTCACATGATCATAACTAATAGTTATAACAATGTATTTGTACATGTATTGCAAACAAAAGAAAGTAGATTTAACATTATTTGTGACAAATATAAAAGCTCATTCAGTGAACTTAATCAATTACTGACCTGTTATACCTTTACCAGTCAAAATAGAACATAAGTTATATTCTTTATGATTAGATGCGTAGAATAATGGTATAAAGACAAAAACAAAATGGAAGTGAATAAAAATTCAGTTTCCGGGGTTATATGTCAAAAACATAAATGTGTTTTTCGTATTGTTTATCTGTGATTTTTGCCCTACAATGCCTACCTATATAGGGTGTCTCAAAAAATGTACCCAAAAGTATATCAGAAGCATAGACAAACCAATCAATATTTTCAGACATTTTTTGCATGGTCTTGTAGATAAAAGATGAAACTTTTTTCCCCTATACACAGCTTTAATTCAGTTTTGCCTTTTTGATACTTTAACCCGTTACCTTTTACACCACATATTCAATGTAACCTCATATTTCGATGACAGTCTGCATCCTTACTACTACATAGTTCATTACATTTGATATTTCTGGTGGAATGTTTTGATTTCTGTTCTAGGTCTCTCAGCTTGGGTTTAGCATAAAAATGGTCCTTCAAATAGCCTCAGAGAAAAAAGTATGGGCCGTCAAATATGGTGAATAGGGAGGCCCTCACAATGTCTTATAGCCCCTTTATACAGAGAGGTAAGAGGTTCAGGAAACTGCATTGGTTGGGATTCTAGTGTAGCCCTTGTCGTGTGTATCAATTTGAGACCACTGTGTTTTCATTTGGATATCATTTGGTCTCCAGGCTAGCCTGCCTAACTCTGGAAGGTTACTTCTGAACCATTTGCCGATAATTGACATTTTATCTGTGTTTGTTCTGCCAACGTCATCCTCAAACATCTTTCTCTGTGGCTATTTGAAGGAGTGTTTAAATGCTCATTCCAAGCAAAAAGACTTGGAACAACATAAGGGCAACATCCAAAGAGAAATCCAAAACATTCCACCGGAATTATTATCAAATGTGATGAACAATGTAGCAGTAAGGATACAGGCTGCCATCGAAATATGAGATTACATCGATAGTTTAGTAGTTTAGTTTAGTTTTATTGTTATTTACAGTGGTAGGTTCAATACAATGCAATAAAATACAACACAAAAGAAAAGTAATAAAAAGCAACCCAGCCCACTTGGGCTTATCAACCACTAGTGTTAAAAATTACAATTAGATTCATAACAAACAATTTTAAAAATACTAGCATGAATTTCTTAGACACATACATGCAGTTTAATTCAATTTACATTATAAATGGCATTTCTTCTTTTAAAATAACAAAGTTTAACAACATGAGCAGCTTGCCTAGGCATTTTTTCAAATAAATACTGAAACTTTTGATCCGTAGTTGATTCTGTTTCTTCAAAAATTTGGTGATTTTGTAAATATGTTTTCCTTATTTCCTTATAAAATGTACAATTAAAAATAAAATGTTCCTCATCCTCAATGTTGCCAGATTTACATAAAGTACATTTTCTATTTTCCAATTTTTCATTTCTAAATCTGCCTGTTTCAATTTCCAGTGGTAAAATTCCCATACGTAATTGTGCAATTAAAGATCGTTCCAACTTAGATAAATTTAGCAATAAATATGACTCAGTTTTGTATGAGGTTTTGAATTTGACATATGTTCTTAATTTTGGTTTCTTGTGTACTAAATCATTCCAAGTTGTTTCATATGTAAGCAGTAGTTTCTTTTTGACTTTTTCTATATAACAATACTCTAAATTCTCAAAATTATCTTGACAATCACATCTATTTAAAATTTTAATCGATAATGTGGTGTAAAGGGTAAAGGGACCTGGGTTAAAGCATAAAAAGGCAAGACTGAAATAAAAATGGTGTATTGGGGAGGAAACATTCGTGTTTTGGCTACATGTCCACGCAAAGAATGTCTGAAGATATTGATTGGTTTATCTGTGCTCTTGATATACTTTTGGATACATCTTTTGAGACACCCTGTACACACGATTACCCATACGAAAAACAAGTTTTTAAGAATTATTACTCAATTGTTATGAACACCCAAATCTTAAACCTTTGATTTCTCAATATCAGATAAAATGCAATTGTAACAATGTGGAAAAAACGGACGATATGTGCATACAAGGATAAATATCACGCAACAATATGCCAGTATATATTATATTTAGAAGGCATCCGTCCACATAAAGTCGGTTAATTGATGCACTCATTACCGTTTGGGCAACTCGGCATGTGATACAGGTTTAGAGCAAGATACAAAAGGTGATGGTTAATGGACTTTCAGTTGTTATTCTCATAGTCAATGTAACAATGGTATTTCAACAATAAATAAAAACTCAAATAGGCAACAGTGTGTATTTATCTCGTATTTAATCAACTGATTATGAAGAACAATATTATCATTTTTTCTCATATGACTAACCAAGATACAGCCATCTTTACCCCATGCAAGATATTGCCATCTTTCATCTTAAAAAGTCACACGTGTAAGATGAGATTTACTTGTGACATCACCGGTCTATAAACATCAACAACATAGCAACAAATACACCGTTGCTACTAGTATCCATGCTCATTCTACAAAACTAAGCTGTGACGTCATAACGATGGAGCTTTGTTGCCTCGTGTATCCATGTATTTTCTACAATATTGTTATGACGTCATAACAATTGAAAGATGAAGTTCCATTAATCTGAAGCTATTTTGCACCCAGTTTTGTCATGAAGACGTGAAAATAAAGCATAATACAGAGTCATATGAGAAAAACTTTCTTGTACTCGTACCTGTGCAATATCGTCCATTCTTGACTCGCTTTGATAATGTTTCTTTATCTCGTCTGCGACTCGATAAAGAAGAATTATCAAAGCTCATCAAGAATGGACGATCTTGCACAAGTACTCATATAAGAACCTCTATTTCTTAAATATGCAATAGCATTCTTTTGTTTAATTGCATATGTCGCTTTAGAATATACTAGTATAGAATAACTAAAACTTCCGTGTGATTTTAGTTATACGAACATGTTAAAGTTATGTTTCACAAGACAAAATCGTATGAAATAACTTATGATGAACATTAAACATTATTATATACCCAATATGTAACACTAATCCTGATTGGTCAATACCTAGTCACGTGTTCCGAAATAGATTTACTATTTCCCTCGGAAAGTTATATTCCCTCAAATGTGACGTCAGCGGGAATATACATTTGAACTATTGCCCGCTGACGTCACAATTGCAAGTTCTATTACCCTTGGAAACGTCTGCGCATCATCACTGCGCAGTAGAAAAACAGAAAAATGGAGGGTGAGCACAAACACAAATCAACTCCGTTCACCATGACAGACGTGCGTGAACGATACAATATAAGCAATGTGTATAAAGTTCCCTAAGCTCAATACGTCTGTGTAATTTCAAGTGTTATGATAATCTATTCCGCGTGTTAAACGCGATTGAATTTGTCAAGTGAGAGTCTCAGAGGCAAACATTTCTGTTGAGCATCTGATGACGTCACAGCTTATAATGCTAACAATGGACCCGGGGAGGGGGCCTTTTTGGCCTTCGCAGAGGAAACGGGACAAGAGTCAGTATAGGGTATATAATAAAACAAATAGTGACTGCCTAATTTCGAGCAATAGTGTAAATGATTTCCCCTCGGGAATATCCTCTGCGGCTTCGGGAATAGTACATTGTAGCTGGGAATACTAAACCTAAGACCCTGTTATAAAACTAAGACCCCATGTAATAAAACTAAGACCCTGTTATAAAACTAAGACCCCCCACGTTATAAAACTAAGACCCTGTTATAAAACTAAGACCCCCCACGTTATAAGATTGTAGAGGATATTCCCTCGGAGAAATAATTTACACTATTGCCCTCAATGGCAGTCACTATTTGTATAATATTATCATTTTATCTGAAATATGCAATAGCATTATTTTGTTTAATTGCATATGGCGCTTTAGAATATATAGAATAACTAAAACTTCCATGTGATTTTAGTTATACGAACCAACAGCGAATGCCACGCTTTAAATCGGCGAGCAAAGCGCCGTCAATTTTGTTTACTTTTCAAAAAATATCATGATCTCCTAAATAATGTTACGTTCTGATAAAGGTTATCGACTTGTTACGGTTCCTCACGCTTTGATCCCGCTTCGACCAGGCTTTGTTACGCTTGAAATCACGTTTTGATAAGCTTTGATAAGCATTATTACGCTTTGATGCGATTGTGACGCTTTAAATCAGGCTCTGATACGATTGCCAAGCTCTGTTGTGCATTGTTACGCTCTGTTAAGCTCTGTCACGCATTGGAAAATGTCGAGATAGCCGATTTCATGCAGCATTTGATCCAATGACTATAAAGATGCAGTGGATCTATAAAACCATTGCATCTTTGACTCGAGAACACGATGGCAGAACAACAAGATCCAGAAATTCCAGATGGACCAGAGCATGGCCTATCTGAAGAAGACATGATGTTTGTCGCACGGCGTGAAAGAGCGTGAGAGAGCGTGAGGAAGCTTGTCAAGCGTAACAAAGCCTAACAAAGCGTTTCAATCCTTGATTAAAGCGTCTCAATTCGTTGGAAAGCTTAAGAGTCCTTCATGAAAGCGTAACAAAGAGTGTCAGATATTGATGAAAGCGTCTGACCTCGTGTCAGATCTTCATGCCAGATCGTAGCAAAGCTTGAGACATCTTAACGAAGCGTGTCAAGTGGTAACAGACCGTGAAGAGACTGGGGTCCCTGCTTTGAACCAAGCTATGTTAAGCTTTCCTACGGGTTGGGTCAAGCTTTGCTGAGCTTTGTTTCGGTTTGTTAAGCTTTGATACTCTCTCGGCGCTTTAATCAATTCGAAACAGAGCGCCCAAAACAGTTTAAAATTTTTGGCGCTCTTGCCGAATATCCCGCTTTACTCCGAGCTTTTCTACGACCTATTACGACCCGACGCTTTGATCAAGCTTTGTTACGCTTTGGTGCCGCTTTACAGGATAACTTAGCTAAAGCTACGTTCACACCAACTGCGCTTTGATGGCGCTTTAAAGCGGCTTGCAAAGCGGTACCAAAGCGTAACAAAGCTGATTAAAGCGTCAGGATCGTGATAGATCATGGAAAACCTCAGAGTACAGCGGGACATTCGGCAGGAGCGCCAAAATATTTTAAACACGCTTCGTTAAGATGTCTCAAGATTTCGACATTTTCCAATGCGTAACAGAGCTGCGTAATAATGCACAACAGAGCTTGATAATCGTATAAGAGCATGGTTTAAAGTCGGGAAATCAGAGCGTATCAGAGCTTATCAGAGCATAACATTACTTAGGAGATCGTGATATTTTTGGAAAAGTACACAAAAATGACGGTGCTTTAGTCGCCGATTTAAAGCGTGACATTCGCCGTTGGTGTGAACTAGGTGTAAAATACTCAAACGCGTGCGGTAAAGCCCCTGCTAATGGTACGTTCACACCAACGGCGCTTTGATGGCGCTTTAAAGCGGCTTGTAAAGCGGCACCAAAGCGTAACAAAGCTTAATTAAAGCGCCGGGGTCGTAATAGGTCGTAGAAAAGCTCGGGAGTAAAGCGGGATATTCGGCAAGAGCGCTAAAAAATTTAAACTGTTTAAGCGTTCGCACCAACGGCGCTTTGATGGCGCTTTAAAGCGGATTGTAAAGCGGCACCAAAGCGTAACAAAGCTTGATTAAAGCGTCGGGATCGTAATAGGTCGTAGAAAAGTTCGGAGTAAAGCGGGATATTCGGCAAGAGCGCCAAAAAATGTTAAACTGTTTAACAATTTTGGGCGCTCTGTTACGAATTGATTGAAGCGCCGAGAGCGTATCAAAGCTTAACAAACCGTAACAAAGCTCAACAAAGCTTGACTCAAAGCGTAGGAAAGCTTAACACAGCTTGGTTCAAAGCGGGGACCCCAGTCTATTCACGGTCTGTTACCACTTGACACGCTTCGTTAAGATGTCTCAAGATTTGCTACGATCTGGCATGAAGATCTGACACGAGGTCAGACGCTTTCATCAATATCTGACACTCTTTGTTACACTTTCCTGAGGGACTCTCAAGCTTTCCACCGAATTGAGACGCTTTAATCAAGGATTGAAACGCTTTGCTAGGCTTTGTTACGCTTGAAAGTTTTCACACGCTATATCACGCCGTGCGACAAACGTCATGTCTTCTTCAGATAGGTCATGCTCTGGTCCATCTGGAATTTCTGGATCTCGTTGTTCTGCCATCGTGTTCTCGAGTCAAAGATGCAATGGTTTTATGGATCTACTGCATCTTTATATAGTCATTGGATCAAAAGTGGCATGGAATCGGCGATCTCGACATTTTCCAATGCGTGACAGAGCTTAACAGAGCGTAACAATGCACAACAGAGTTTTGCAATCGTATCAGAGCCTGATTTAAAGCGTCATAATCGCATCAAAGCGTAATAATGCTTATCAAAGCTTTTCAAAGCGTGATTTCAAGCGTAACAAAGCCTGATCAAAGCGTGAGGAACCTTTTAGAGCTATGTTAAGCTTTCCTACGCTTTGGATCAAGTTTTTCTGAGCTTTGTTACGGTTTGTTAAGCTTTGATACGCTCTCGGCGCTTAATCGATTCGTAACAGAGCGCCCAAAACTTTTTAAGAGTTTAAAAATTTTTGGCGCTCTTGCCGAATATCCCGTTTTACTCTGAGCTTTTCTACGACCTATTACGACCCCGACGCTTTAATCAAACTTTGTTACGCTTTGGTGCCGCTTTACAAGCCGCTTTAAAGCGCCATCAAAGCGCCGTTGGTATGAAGAAAAATGACAAAAATGACGGCGCTTTGCTCGCCGATTTAAAGCGTGGCATTCGCCGTTGGTGTGAACGTACCTTAAACAATCCCCTGTTTCCAGAAACCATGGCCAGATGTTCAAATGCAAACTGTATATGACGGTTTGGCAACCGTCTTTAAACCTCAGTATTTTGTTCCACGAATATAATTGGTCGGCATTCTGTGACTTTGATGAATTTTCTTGAACTTGGAAAACATCAACAGACTGATTAATTAAAACACATTCATTGGAGACAAGGGATATCCCGGTTGCTAAATGTTAAGAAGGGGTGTACCTCGTGACAGGTACCTGTAGGTAGTATTAACACTAAACACTGATTGTGAATAAAACGCGAACATTTTTGGAGCACGATTTTTAATCTAAGGTTGACATGTGCACAATATTGGTTCGGATGTACATACCAACATAAAATGCTATTAAAACGCCTTGACAACAAGCATTGCTTTATTCAATGGCATTACATTAGAAATGATGTGCCATAAAAAATTAAATGAGAGTAACAATGTGATAAAGTCGATGAATGGACCATATATACATGAAAAGATTCAGTTAAAAATAGTAGCTTTATTATTTAGTTTATTGTCATACATTAATTAAATGTACGTAGGTGGAACAAATGCACGTAGTAAGGGTTCAATCCTTCCTGATTGCAAAATAGCAACACAGGTTTGATGAAACATAATTTTTTGTTATACCTTTCCTTAACCACATAGGATCTACGGCAACCGTACGGCGGCCGTAAGTTCCCAAAATCGAGAGACTGAGCCTTAGAGCCATCAAAATATTGTAACACACAGTTCTTGTTTTCGTTTAAGATTTTAGAAGAGAAAACAAGTTACATGATAAGGTGTTTTAAAAGGAAATCAAATTTTTCTGAAAAATGTTTTTAAATATTTCATAGTTAAAATTAAGCAACTGGCTATTAATTTGAAATGTAGTCCGATTATAATTAATTCATTGTATATAATTGTTTCCCGGGAACAGAGGAACAATTCTTATTTAGTCAAATGATATTCTCAATGGAGATGTGGCGTTTTTTAAGATTGTTGAAGGTAGGAAACTTACTATCACATTTAAACATGAAGTCATGTAATAAAAATATACTTGAAGTCGTACCTGTGAATATCGTTCATTATTGATTCCCGATCTTTGACAATGTTTCTCGTATTCGACTCGATAAATAGGGATAATAATCAAAAAGCATCAAGAATGAACGATCCCACACATTCACTCGTGCAAGAACCTCAATATCCCGAGATCTTCCATGTTGTTGTATGTAGGAATTCATTTTCAGTAGATCATGTACATGACAAAAAACATGAGATAAAATATATATTATTCTGTGTGAATTTACATGCGTGCTGCATATCTTGTTGAAAATTGGATCTAATCGAATTGAATTAACCAATTGGAATTCATCTTTAAGCTTGAAAATGAAGTGGTCGTTTACATTATAAAACATCCTGGTCTGTTGGTTATATAAGCATGATTTCCATGCTATTTGCCAATCATTCGGGACATCTCCGAGATGGTCATGATACAGATGATACTGGTGCATCTTGCAACGGCTCTTCTTCTATATGGCGTCACAGCCGATCAGGTATAACATATTTTTAACATGTTTTGGAAAGCTGTTAATTTACCTTCCTTGGTTTAATAATATACGTGAAAAGCTTTACATCTTCTCTACATTTCTAGACGACGTTACAATATACCTATACGAGTTACGTCTATCTTTGGGGTGAAACGAAGCAAACATTCCGTGTTTCTGCAATTGTAGAGGTGGACGAAATAGGACGTAAGTTGAAGAAATGTATACCTTATTTCCAATGATCGAATCTTATTATCTAAGCTTAAATAACTTATATTTTATCGGTTGCTTCTTATTTAGTTTTAAATTCTTTTCAGCTGCCAAGGGCCCGTACGAAGGAACCGAGGCTGTTCTTTATTTAGTCCATTTGCATCATATTAAGATCGACCCTATAAAGTAAGCTTTCGAACGTGATTTGGGCATTTGTTATGATCAAACATGGACAGCTCAATTTTTAAGTTCCGTTTTGTAGTTGATTTTAGTTAAGTACATTTTAGTCCATGGTATGAAATTCCTAGGACGCCTAATTAAGGAGCTGGAACACAATATAGTGCAGCGATATTTGACCTAATATTTACATACAGGTACCTTCATGTACACATGTCCAGTATTGTGTTTTATTATAGACGTTCAATTTTCTTCGGATTCTGCACTTAGTTTTTAAATAAATTGTAAGGGTCGCCCGTGATATTAGGTCTCTGCTACAAATACCATGACCACATTAACGTGGTCACCTTTTGTATTAAATCCTATGTTATATTGTGCCATATACTACTTCAAAATTATAAAAAGTATTTATAATATACTCAAGAGATGGCAAAGTGATCAAAGATAAATCTGACGTAAATAAGACAGCAGGCGAACGGGTGAAGAAACGGCCACTTGATGAAGTGTACAAGAAACCATTCCGCTTCATCCAGAGGAAGGATGGTAGCATTGCTGAGGTACAATTTCAGAAGTCAGACCTAGGTTAGTGACTTTCTTTCAATGTTAATAGTGGTTCGAAAGTTTGACATCAATTTGCATGTAAGCATGCAGAAATGAATCGTCTTATATTCAAAACTATATAGTTTTCTTGTATTTTTTGATGCATCCTTGTACATTAGTCATCCTGATATTTTTCTGGTATAACAAGTACAACGGAATGTATGTCAGAATATGGTGATCATATAATATTATGATAATAAACACATTACAGTAGGTATATAATCGGAATTTTGGACAATTTAGCATATCGCAACCTCACAAGGACTTTGACTTTGCTGTCTATACAATATGACACACTTTGCCTTTGTAGCAGTAAAAGAAAGTATACAATAACACTAAAACTATTTATTTTTAAATATTTAGAAAACACGGAAGTTGTCAATTTCAAAAAGGGTGTGCTAAGTGCCTTCCAAACACACAATGATGATCGAGATGAAGAAGATGTGGACGAGACAGACGTACTTGGTGAACATACTACTCACTATAGGTATGTTCCGTGTATATAATATAGGAGGTAAATTGCATGTCTAAAACAAAGCAAATTTTAAAATTAGATTCAGATGATTTTAAATTTTTTGTCACAATAAAATAATATTTGAAAAAGACAAACGCAACCAGAGTGACAAACATGGACTTGTAATACATGTAGACGAATAATTATCATTATTCGATTTCCAGGGTTACACATTTTAACCACACTAAGAAGATCAAGAAGTCATACAAGACTAATGATGTCAAGAGGTTCGGCAACAATGACATCAACAAAGACGGCGTTGACGTCGATGTCGAGGAAGAATTGACAGTTGACGATACAAATAGAATAACCGAGTCAAAGGGAGTCATGAAGATAAGAATCAAGAGAAATCCAGAGAAGGTATTTTTAATATTCAAACATGTTTAAGCAATACATTCTAAGAATTGACCACGGTATCATGCCATTTCATTTTTGTTTGCACATTCATTATTATTATATTTTCCAAGGAAAAAAGAAACGCCGAGGAAAATAGTCCTCATACTATATATGTAAGGGCGAAAGATGTGGACCTAGCCGATAACTTTGACTCCGACAACACTTTTGATATGAAGTTAAATCAGGAAACAAGACGCTCATTAAATCGAAAAAGGCGTGTGGTCGAACTTGACACTAAACAAGGACAAGACTCATTCGTTACAACTTCGCTACTTGGGGATTTCAGCCAAGGTTATCATCCCACGAAATATAATCTTCATATATCTTAAATAATGTCTAAGTAACAATTTACAAGTAAATATATTTAAGATAGATAATATGTCTGACATCTCTCACAAACTATGAGCATAATTCATTTTAAGCTCTATATACCATGTGTATTTCAATAAGAATATTATTCATTTGTAAGTTCAATATACAATGATTATCTCATTCTGTTTTATTTTAGAAAACGCCAAGAGACACAGATTCAAAAAACTTTTGGAAATTATAGAGGAACAAGGACTGTTGAAAATCCTAAAACGATTTTATCAAACACCGACAGATACTGAAATATGTGAGTAGTTGACCGAGATATCACCTGGGGCATGGGGGTGTTTATGTGAGTAGTTTAACAATATATCACCCGAAGCTTGGGAGGTGTTTATGTGACTAGTTGGCAAAGACATCACCTGAAGCTTGGGAGGTATTTATCTGAGTAGTTGAATGAGATATCACCTGAAACTTGGGAGGTGTTTATGTAAGTAGTTGAACGAGATATTACATGTAGCTTGGGAGGTGTTTATATGAGTAGTTGAACGATACATCACCTGAAGCTTGGGGGGTATTTATGTGAGTAGTTGAACAAGATATCACCCGAAGCTTGGGAGGTGTTTATGTGACTAGTTGGCAAAGAAATCACCTGAAGCTTGGGAGGTATTTATTTGAGTAGTTGAATGAGATATCACCTGAAACTTGGGAGGTGTTTATGTAAGTAGTTGAACGAGATATTACATGTAGCTTGGGAGGTGTTTATATGAGTAGTTGAACGAGATATCACCCGAAGCTTGGGAGGTGTTTGTGTGAGTAGTTGAATGAGATTGTCACCTGAAGCTTGGGGGATGTTTATGTGAGTAGTTGAACAAGGTATCACCTCAACCTTGGGAGGTGTTTATGTAAGTAGTTGGACGAGATATCACCTGAAGCTTGGGAGGTGTTTATGTAAGTAGTTGAACGAGATATTACCTGAAGCCTGGGAGGTGTTTATGTGAGAATTTGACCGAGATATCACCTAAAGCTTTGGAGGTGATTATGCTGAATAAATTGGGTGTTAGGCTAAATAAACTCTTACTTTAGTTTGTTTATGTTTATGTTTGTTTATGGAGGTGTTTCATTTGTAACTAGATGGAATGTCATTTGTAGCAAGCCCTGCCGCTTGTGTGGACAGAAATTGGTTCATTTGTAGCTGGTTGGATTTTGCAACATCACTTACTTCAAGCTGATCAAGCTTCATTTATAGCTTTTGTGTTAGTTTTAAGTAGCTTCGCATAGCTATAATGAAACGTTAAATGTGGGTAATGTTCATGTTTACATATTGACGTTCACATTAATTAGATTTTATATCTAATGCCTCGTGTAAACCTTTACAGTACGTCATCTGAGAGAGGCTTTACATCTCGAGAACATGCTTAGTGCAAGACCTACGTCCTCCAAAGAGCATCACAACATTAACCCGAAGAATGAAGAAAGTGTACCACGTGTCAGCTTGATCAATAGTGTCGTAAAGGAGACGAAGTCGGTGAGTTCTCAATTTCGGTATCATCACATTTGTAAACATGACAACGTCTTTTACATGACATTGCATACTGGGGAAGTCGTAAGAATGAGATATAACAAACATGAGCCCAATTTAGACATGTATATTTAAGTTAAACGTGTTTTACGTCTTTCCAGTTATCATGAGGATATGACATCTATTTTAAAAATAAAATAATATGATTTAATATAATTTTTAATTTAATAACCTGTATTTAAACAGAGTTATACAAATCATATAGTCCCTGATCTGGACCCTCTGTAAACAAGTGTTGTTATCCGGTACTGTCCCATGTAAAATGATTGTACCGTTTGAAAGACTTCCCTCATAAAGAAAACACATCTTATATTAATAGAAACTGGGATGGAAATCAGAGCAGGGACTAATATCATATACAGTTATATTGGATCAAAACATATTTACAGTTTAGTGACACCTTGTTAATTATAAGAGATCAGATGCATCTATAATGCTTCATATTCATTTCAGAAATTGACCGACTGCATCAATCACTGGGAGCTGTGTAAGGGTATCGTCAATCTGTACATTGTGGGTGGTCAAGCTGCAGGGGAAAAGGTAGATCATTGGTCAATCTGATATTATATTCAAATTTAATTTTTGTACCATATGCATCGTGAAACAATTTTCGTATACTACATGTATTACTGATAAATGAATACGTCAAGTTTAATGCATCATTAAAATCTGACAACATGAATTATATACAGCTAGACTAACAACAATGCAAAGCGGTAGTTGTTGTATCATATCAAAGAGTAATGTTCTGGTAAATAGCATTACTACCTTATATCTTGATAAGAAAGGTATAGAACACACCAATATTCATATTACCTTATAACTCAAATGATTTACCTTACCTTGTATATTGTTCATGAAAAGTTGTTCCCACATTATTCAAGTGGATGATTTGATTTTGGGAACATTGATTTTGGAAACATTTTGTCAAAATCAGTTCAATAACTTGAAACTCAGTTTAATATTTGTAGATGATCAAAGCAATGTTGACGATGAACCTTTCTGATAAAAACTTCAATGAATTCCTGTCAATGTTAACCTCAATGAGGAATCCAAGCGACTCATTAGTGAACGCTGTCAGGAAGAAGTATCAAGAGGAACGTTCAGAGGAAGTGAAAGTCACCTTAATGTTTACAATGACTGCATTAGGCGGTGAAAGATCTGTCAGTAAAGAACTGCGAGCAGCGATAACTAAATCAATGCTAGAGAAAATAGCGAATATCAACAAGGACAACTGTCAAGCTGATGATAGCGTATTTGATGTTCTAGAAGCCACTGGAAACCTCGCAGATCCGGCGATTATAGATCGTATGATAAAAATAGGAAAAGATTGCATGAATAAACCCGCTTTGGTAATGGGAACAGTCCACGCCTTGGCAGAAATTTGTTCAGATCAACGTGTCGTTGACTACTACACGTTCTTGATTGAAAATGCAGTGTGTGACGTAAAACTGACAGTTATTGGGAGCATGAGGGATAAAATAAGTAGCGATATTGTCGAAGGACGGCATGGGTCATGGCCAAGAGAAACATACAACAGTCTTGACTTGAGACTGAAGGAAATATATAACGACAACAGCGGAGATTTCCATTGTATACATGATGACATTTTCAAATATTTTAGTGACAAACCCGGAAAAGATGCCAAAGCATTTTTGGCTACTAACAGCAAATCGAAACGAGGTATTCTCAACCATTATTCATGCTCAGCATGGGGACCGTATGGCTCTCGATATACGAGTATACAACCTGAATCTTCCTTTTCAACAGATAATTCGAGGTACCCTGATAACAGACACTGTTTAGCTCATTTTAGACTCGGAATCAGCAGTGCTAATGCAAATCTTTACGCAGGGGCTTTCGCTGGCATCAACAGGAAGTATTGTAACTGGAAGATATTTGCCCGAGTCTACGCAAATGCATATGTCCTCGGGAAAAGCTTCTCGATCGTGTCAGCCCACTTTTACCAGTACAAATATGGAACATCGTTTAGGTTACGAGCTTACTTAAAGATCGGAAGTAAGACTCATGTTGATTATACGTACACATATAACGTGCCATCCTACTCACAAACGTGGTCGAAATATTGGCAGTGGGATATAGACATATGGGGTATCAATATGTACGTTGCTTCTTTAACTTTGAGGGTTACCATAAAACCGGGTGTACACTTCACAGTGAAAATCAGCCCCTGCTATACGGGATGTGCAGTTTGTGCAACAGTCACCCCCAAGGTTACTCTGCAAATATCTGGTGGTGCATCTGCATCTTTAGCGGTAAGTTGTGCAGAAAAGATAAATAGACTAGAAAACGGCAACTCCACGAATAAACATTAGTTACCCAATGATCAATATACTTAAAATCTAAGCTATTTCTGAAACAATTATCCCTCCATAATTTTGGCAACTGGATGTTCCCTTTTGTTAAAGTCTGTTTATGTTTGGCGATTTAAAAACATTAAAATTGTCGTAGGATTATGAACTAATGTGATTAGGGAAAAAATTAAGATTTAATGTATTGACAGAATTTAATGTGATATAAAACCGCAGCTGGCTGTCAAACCTATGAAGGGGATTGAATGTTAAGTTGACATGTTTTCGAACTCTCATCCGTGTATTTTCCTCCTTTTTCATATTTGAGCATTAAAATGGCCATTATAAGTGCTTGAAATGTTTGAAATTAATCATAAACAATTCGGGATACTTGATTAAAGAATTAGTATCGATATGGCGAACTGAATTGAATTGTTTATTTTAAACCAGTCATCAAAAAATTCTGAAAATTCTACACATCGTCAATTTAATGATCATCTTTTGAATGGTACCAATTTAATTTGAAAAAAAAATCATATTTACTTTTCTCTATATTGTTTTAAAAAACATATCAGACACTTCTTTTGTCCTCGACAAGACAAGACACTTCTTTTGTTCGGAATGAAATAAAACATTTATCCGAACCTGATTGGAACAAAATGACATATACACAACGTGTTTAGGTCTCTCAATATTGTAATTGTACAAAGGAAAGTCTGGTTCATTTATTTACAAATATCTTGTTATTGAAATAAAAGATATACCTTAATTTTTATCTATTTTTTTTGTTTTTTGAATACTTGTTGTAAATGAACCAAACTTTTCTTTGTATTACTATAATATTGAGAGGTCTAAGAAAATGTAGAATATGCTATTTTGTTCCAACAAAGTTCGAAAATATATTTTATTTCATTCTCAAGAATTGGTAGAAAGGAACAAAAAACAAATGCACTAAAATCAAAATTATTTCACAAAAACAATTTAATTATTAAAATATATATCGATAATTTTCGCATTAAATTGTTGTCAGTCAGCGATCATAACATATATAAAGGACAGTGTTTTTACAGAATGTTTTCAATAAAAGAAAATAATTGGTTTGAGAGAAAAACAATCTTGAATTCAGTTCGCCATATCGATACCAATCCTTTCTTGAAATGGCGAACCGAAAGCTATTAACCAAACCACTGCAGTACTTAAAAATTTATGAACAAAATGCTTGAAACGAAATCTAATACCTCGATGAGATATATTACCAGTGTCTATAAAAAACACTTTTATACTCACTTTAGAAAAATAGAATAGTGTTCTTCTATAAAATGCCAGGGCTTGAATGAATGTGATAATGAAGATAATGCAGATTATGCTTTAATGTCAGACACTTCAAGTATTATAAGAATGAAAAGGGGAGATTTCAAATTTGACTTTGCGCATGCACGGCTCTGAGAAAAACATATGCTCGGGGGGGGGGGTGGGGAGATTTCCCAAAGATGAAATTCGGTATTGGCACGTTCGATAATCAATTCTATAAACAGGCCTCATTTGCCATTGAAACTGATGTCAGAATTTTGCTGTTGTTTTATGAATATTCTCTACAAGTTTGGATCGAGTAACATAAATGGTTTTACCGTAGTTTTGAAATGATGATGTTAAACTGAAATATTCACAATTTCCATGATTTAATTAAATTTTACTTTGCCCATGCGCGGCTCTGAGAGAGCACGTGCTCGTGATTATTCACGTGATCAAATCCTGCAATTTGATTGGACATCATATACTGATGGGCGTAATTTAAATAAATTATGTTCAAGAATACGAAACAATTATGGAAGCCACATACTCACTTCTTCTGACATGCGATTATTATTGTCCATGTGATCATACATTTATCCTAGAATTTGACTGTACATCATATACTAATGCGCTTGATTTTAATACATCATGTTCGCCAATACCAACCCAATACCAAAGAGTTATGGGGCTACTCACTTCTGGTCAAAGGGCTTCAGTACATGTATATCCTAATTAAATTCGGTCGTTCAGAAAATAATATGATTTCAAAATGGGATGGATAGATATCGCTGTAAATTACTATTATGTCAATAAAAAAATGATAACGTTGCAGTAGGATATCAATAGATGTCAGTTACTAGTATGAATAAAACAATTTGGACTTAACGACATTGGACTGCTAGGGCTTGCATGACAATAATTTATAGCTCTAGTTATTCATTTTCTTATTAAGTGATATAGGATTTGTCTCGAAGCTAAGATAATTTCAAGCTTTAGGTCATATCATACATGTTTTTTATTCATTTAAAATTATCCAAATTTATCCCAGGCAAAAATAAACACGACCTATTTAAGAGTTGGTTGTGTTAGGTCAAACGAACTCACATCCTTTATTTGAATGCCTTTAAGATGACATTCCGCCCAATCGGACACGTTTTTAAATGATGACCAGGTCTATACCATGCAAAACCAAACATTTTGAAAATACTTAATTATAAGATGTTTTCAATATCATATCGCGGTGCACAGCAGTCCACGACTAGCGTTTTGATCCAAATAATAATGATCCAAAGATTTTTCAAATTCACAGCTATTTTTAGCCATTGAATTTCTAATCTATATATGCATGCAATTTACAAAATAGTGAATTTATATGCTTCGAAATACTTAAGGAATAAATGTGAAGTATCCAATAAACGATTGACTTAGAGTAAATTGCAATACAATTGCTACTTTTTTGGAAAAAATGTTCTGTGACAAAGTTGCAATTGGGCTTATTTAATAATTAACTTTGATCATATCTATTGGTATTCAGCTTTGAAAAAGTAAGCTTACATTCATTGGATTGATTTATTGTTGTTGATTCTGGCACCATTTTGGTTTGTTATTATATCAGTTGTGTTTCAATCAACATCTTCGCAATTAACATAGTGATTTGTAAGCATTAAAACATTTTTAAAATCAACATGGCACAAAACACTGAATACAAGAGCTGATGGTGCTTCTGGATACTTCTTTAATGTAACCAATAGTAATGAGAATAGCTTCGGGGGTTGAGCCTAGCGACATTTGACGTGGGATAAGCTATGACCTAAATGTGAAGAATTGAAATCTTGGATTAATGAGGTGGTGATCTGTTTTCATACTTCCCGGATGCAACATTACATTTTGAAAGAACAAAATCAACAAAGAAATATGAATTATTGATGGTGTGTTTCATTGCTTATTAGCCAATTATCAATATTTAGAGCACATATATTCTATACCATTATACATACCTGTATATAATCTTTATATAATTGTGAAAACTATTCTGTAATTTTTAGCATTTGAATGATTATAAAAAGTGTAATTTCTGGACTTAATTACTTAATAGCTCAAACGAGAGCATTGAATAGTTCACTTGCATGACGTCATACAGACTCTGGTCCATGTAAACACAAAATTCTTGCAATCACGAATTACCAACAAAAGTGGGATTTATGGGGAACCTTCGACCTTTTTCTAAACAATGTGGGCAGAAATCTATAATATTTATATTTATATCTAGAAAATTATTTCACACATATTTTCGGCCAATTTTTATAAATGGTTATTTTTGAGATTTAATTGGACAAAACCTCTTATTTTGGCTTTGCCTACCTCAAAATTTGGGAATAAAAGAGGCGATTTTACATTAAATCTTCGGAACCTCGTTGCATGGGCTGGAGTCAAACAAAAGTTGTATAGGTAGTAGCTTTTTCGGAACTTTGATTTTGACAAATAAATAGAATTTCAGACAAACTTGGTTTCGTGTTTTTGCGATGAGATAGGGAGACACTTAAAAGTCGCCATAGTTCTGTCATCTCAATATGGCTTTATTTATTTAGAACATTTTTAGTATAGCAAAAAAATAAATAATGTAATATTTTCATGATATATCTAATACAGTTATATGACATCAATAATCAGAGGCAAGAGAAATCATGAAACGTGGTCGATGCTGCAACTTCCAGCTTAAATATGCTTATTTTCGACAAGCGGCCAGTCGCGAGATTGCGTGTGTTTTCCCTGACTGAGAGGTACTAACAATTTTTCTCATCCAATACTCAACCAATGTCCAAAATTCTTAAACTGTATATAGCCAAGCGTATTTTCTAGGATGTTTATTTTCCAAAATTATTATGTATTCTGTCCTAGACTGTCCTGGTCCTAGACTGTGCCTCTCTAAGACACTGTCTTGTCTCCCCTACCCTAATTTACCTACTTTTTTAGATTGAAATACACCTCCCTCCATGATTTGAGTGAGATATGGTACCTTATGGCTTGGTCACATTTGCTCCGATTTTCACAACGGCGCCCGGCGATTGAGTATTTCGTTCAAAATTGAATACAATATTGAACAAAACACTCAATCGGCCGGGCGCCGGCCGATGTATCAGAGCAAATGTGACCAAGGCATTACTTTTGACGGTACCTCTTCAACCCCCCCCCCCCCTCTGTCCATTGATGGTATGAGTCCAAAAATCATTTCAATGAGGTGGAATGTCGACTCATTTATGTCAAACAGTGTTCCGTTGTCAAAAAATCGAAAAGCTCCCAAAATGTCAATGCGAATTCGATCATTTTTAAAAAGTGCAATTTTCAATTGCTTCCTAAACGAATTGGGCGAAACGAAGATAATCTGTACATCATTTATAGGCAGTCGTCAGGGGTGGTATTGACGTTAATGTAAAGCTGAACTATCTGGTTGAAGGCGTTGGGAGAATAGGTGTATACTCGGGCGTCTGCGTTGGTCTTTACCACGGACACGATCCGATGAATGTCTTCTTTTCTGCATGGTATCAGATTCGCTATAAAATTAGAGTACGATTCAGCTGGTGGCCGGTACGTAGGCTTTTTTTTGGATTTGGATTGCAATAATGATTGTCAGTAGCACAGTGTTAATATGCCGAATCATTGTTTGTTGAAACAATGGTTTGGAGTTGTGACCGGTTGTATCATTAATGTCCCCTTTCTATCTTTAAATAATACTTTCTTTTGTATGGTCATATCAGCTTATTACACTTGTGCTCATAGCAACTTTGTGTTATTGTTTGTTAATATTCGTATTTACCTTATCTCAAAATATAAAAACACATTAAAATGAATATCAAAAATTTGATTTTTGTTATTTTTAGCCATTCTTTAGACTTGAATGGAGATGGGGAGACAGAAAGACATGGAGCCCGAAAACAACTTCTTGGAGCATATCGTCGGCGTCTAGGAAAACAATTTACTGGAATTGCCTACCAGGATGGAACAAACCCATCCTATATAGAGCAGACACGATTGCATATTTTGGTAACCTTCAATTAAAGCCAATAGCATCGGCTAGATTGGTCACTTCTTCGGGATAAAGTGATAGTGATACTGTAAAATAAGTAATAGAGGAACACAATTATTTGTGAAATTTATTTGAACAGATTATTAAAGACGGCCACTGTGTGCTTATAAGATTCCTTTGTATTTTTCTATTTTGTGGTTGATATACAGGGCGGACAGAGATGCTGCATTCAGTCACACAATGTCATGTCACAACCATATATTGCTATGGTCTTCAATTTATTGTAGCGGTGGTCGGTGGTACTCTGCCGTTCGCCGGTTGGCTTTTGGCATATATAACAAATGGCAGGTGTTGACATTTTGCGTGTTATTATTATTATATCTTGGTTACCGCCAATACCGCGAGCAATACCACATATTCCGTATTTTACGTATTTTACACTCGAAGATAGAGCCAGAGAACCACTCAGTCAAACACCCAGAATTACATAACGCACAAACAAACTTGTCTGAACCGGGAATCGAACCCGGGGCCAAGCGATATTGGCAACCTTGACTCTCTCTGCCACTGAGCCATAGCGGGTGGACATGTGTTAATGTCTTGTTCTTCAATGTTCCAGTTTCATAATAGTCTTGGGTGTATTTGGGAGTTAATTATTTCGATCAAGTCAAGGCTATAATAACTGTCATTGTTGTGACGGATATAAAGTATACCTATTGACATTACAATCACAATGAGATAAGATACATTTCTAGCCATCAGTTATATATTATGTTATCATGTCGATGTCCTCGGTCACGTGATGTATCATAAATCACACCTTAACATATTGCAAACTTTGCCCGACGTTAAATTGCCGCTCATACGATCTATAACCGGTTCCAACCATCACTTTATTATGTTAACTGACACATTAAGGGCCAATTTGACAAATAAATGACACAACGTGATAACCTTGTGCTTCTATGTTGTCAAAGTTGACAGTCACAAATCGTGTACTTGTCATACTTAAAAAGGTCGATTTCTTGTAAGTGACTTTTTGATGAGCATTTATCGTTTGTACCTTATTACTTATCTCGATGTGTACCTTAATCAAACTAATATAGACTCAAGATATGTAGGTACCGGATGTCAATGATGACGTCATAATTAGTTTGACAGGAGTCAGATAAATAATGGTGCACCATCTAGCTTACTATTATGTAAAGTTTCTGCGGCGAGCGTAGGAAAACTACGCTCGCCTTGCGGTCTCCATACGGCGTATCCAGTTTTTTACAGGCCGCAGGGTCGCCGTAGAAATTATAACTCGGAGTTATAATATTTGTTCATTTCTGCGGTGCCCGTACAAATCAACTGGCTCAACGAGATTAAATCATTATTTGTCAATGTTTTACGAACAATTTTCATTTGATATTACATCCTAGCACTATGAATAACATTTATAAATTGTCCTGATGTAAATAAAATGAAAAAAACTATTATTTATCAACAGAAATTTATAATTCGCCGTGCGGCTGCCGTGGGAAATGTGACTGCAAAAGTATGAGAGCGCAGAAATTCTACAACGAGGGTAGAAAAGCTACTGACCGCAGAAATGATAGACCGCACAGCGGCCGTAGGAAATGTGACTGGGGTGTAAGAATGTGCAGAAAAATATGTTTATCAGATTGTAATACTTTTTTGGCATCTTTTTAGGATCGGTCATTCTGAATAACAATCGGGGGCTTCCCGTGATGTGTTTTATATTCTGGTGCGATGATATGCTTAAAACATTTTGCATGTCCGTTACCTGACCGTGCATATTAAGACTCTTTGGACATTACATTAATGCTCTTTAGCCCAGCCATGTCGGCATTGAAATCAATTAGAATCAATTGATATACGGAAGAAAGTGTTAATAAAAACAATTCATTAAGATACGTTTAATTAATTCTGTATAATATCAGAGCTTTGTGTGAAAAAATTAGAACCTAGAAATATGAAAGCACGCGTGACAAACGGTAAAGACATCTTAAAAGATGCAAAGAAACAACAAAACTGAAAACACGACTCAGCCCACAAGATCCTTTAGAACATACCATTATATAAAATGATCATAATTTATAAAGTTAATTGTAATCGATTATCTGTAGATAAAATATATAAACTGTGCTACGATTTCCAAATATCGCATAAGGTCAGACTGCCGTAATTTGTCGACCGACTAAACTTCTTCCAAAGTTGAGGTCAATCTAGTCATGTCGACCAACTGTACTAGTTCATGGCAAATCCAAGGCCAGTTGATGGTAGAAAAACTAGAACAAGAGTAAACGTAGCAAAATGGAAGCAGCTACATGTATAGCAAAAATGAGAATGAACGTTACATTATCAATGTGCTGCCCCCACAAGATTGAGCAGGGGTACCAAAGCGCGAGAACCAAGAATATTAATAGCAAGACGGGAAAGTAAATGAACATTTAAAAGTTCATATAAGGAAAAAGATTTAAATTCACTCGAGGTATAAAGAAAAATATTGAACACTCCCCTCCATAAGTTTGGCAACCTTAGCTCCCCCATTGAACTACGTGTTAAAATCTAAATTTGATGAATTTTTGAAAATTGACATTCCCGTGTTAACCAATGGGAAATGGTAGGTTTGCCGCAAGTCATTTGACAGAATAGCCATCCATCCGAGTCCTTGCAAAAAATAAAAGTAAGTTGGGAAATTGAATTTGCTAACTTTATTTAACAAAAATACGATACATTTCTTCAGGTTCTACAGAGATATAGGTCTTTAAAGTCAAAATTGTTTTTCAAAAAACCTCTCCCATTGAAATAACACAGAGGGCGAAAAATGATTTTCTAAAATGACTTTGAAGCTCTGTAACTTTAGTATTCATCAAGTAAACTAAACACTTACAAAAAAGTTAGACAATTCAATTTTATATATAGAAATATTTTTTGCTGAATCATTTACTGAATAGATATCCTGATTTCTGAATTAATTTCCTATGGGTTTACATGGGAATGACGATTTTCAAAAATTCATCAAATTTATCATCAATTTCGACCTATTGACTAGAGGAAAAAATTGGAAAATTTTGAGGGATTGGGTAAGTATTTATTTATTTATTTATTTGGATATTCCCTATTTATAACAGTGGCACACAATAACAGGTGCATCCCATACTAAAACGCTGTATGCTCTAAATAAATTCAAGTAAATAAAAATTCAAACGTAAAGAGGCTTTAACACGTAGTTCAATGGGGGAGCAAAGGTTGCCAAACTTATGGAGGGGAGTGTATATCTTTTCATAAAATGATGAAATATATTAACACAAATTTAAATACATGCTGAAAATGCGTGACATATATTACAATCAGAACTAGGATAACATGGCACTAGCAAGTCGGGCGACGTTAACGTGAGTCACTTGTTATGTCAATCATCTTTAGGACAATTGCGAATCACGTGATTCTCTCAACCAATAAAAGTTGCTCATAAATCGAACAATTACAGATAACCGAAATAAATAATTCAAACAGTCCAGGTTATTATTACTCTTTTTGACTCGGCTTCATTTTTAATTTATACCTAACTTAGCATTAATATACTCAGTCTAGTTTTTTATGATGTGACGAGGGGTGGTGTCAAACTCAAAAAAATCCTTGGTTTACTTTTTATGGTGACCAAGAAATGTTTCATTCATTCTCATGCTACAGGGTGTTATAGATGTATGGATATTGTATCATTCAGTTCAGTAATAAATTCAAGGTACTGTACTTCATGGAATAAATTATCATTGACAGCTTATTTCTTAGCGAACATATAATTGTCATTTTATAAAGTCATACACTGTATAGCATGATTTAAAACTTCATTCCTAGAAAGTATTTGAAACATTATGTTGCATACAGCAAAAATATTACACCTTTAAAATATGTAAAATATATGATAAGCAATATTGTTGATAGTGTCCAAAATTGAATCTTTGAAACACACCCTTTAACTTGAATCGTGGTCTGTATGGCTATTCAAGGTTTTTAATCATCATAATCACAAGTGGTAGATTGCAAAATGCAAACGTCAATATAAAAGACCCTGGTTAGCATTATTCTCATCAGTCATCACAAGTCACAAAACGGGAATCATAAAATCAGCGGTATGCTATCAAAATCAAAAATATTGATGCGCTGCATCGGGAAATGCAGTAAAACTGCAAAACGTGAATATATGTACCCGAGTAACACAAGTGCTGATGTGGAACAAATCTGGGACGCAGATTATATGGACAATATCAATATGTTTGACTCGACTCCTGATCTGGAAAATGGGCAAGGAAAATCCGCACAAACATTTACATTAGACTTTACATCATCCGATCCTCTTGATGTCGCAAAATCAGTGGCAAATGCCGAAAACCGGTCAGTCATGACGAGCATTGGAAGTGGTAATACCTCTCTGAAATATCGGTTAAACTATGGCCCCGACTCTGCGAGTAGTTTACAATGTGAGGTAGAGGAGAAATCAAGTATATGGCTTCAAAGTGAGTGTACCGTAATGACCCCTGTTGGCAAAGATCCCTTAACCACACTAGTAGATAAGTTTCAACAAGCTAAATCACTTCCTGTTTACATTGACGCTTTGGCTAGACTGAATAATGACATAGCGGGGCATACACAAAACAATTTGATTAATTTTAATCATAACGAAATCGAGTCGTTATTTTTAAGAATCAAAGAGCATGGGCCGGGTTTGGTCGTTATCCAATCCGTATATGGTAAAACAGGGACAATAGCGCCGTTGGAAAAAATGTGCCAGCTCACACGAGAACTGGACTGCACGCTTATTGTCGATGAGACAAACGCTCTAGCTGTTTATGGAGAAGAGGGCGCTGGAAAAGTGGCTGAGCTAGACTTACACGACTTCATTCCATACAGAATTGCAAGGTTACCTGCGCTTGGGTCAAATTTGGGACTGATTACATGCTTTAAAAGCAATGTTGACACTCTAAGAGAACCACTAAATGTTGGCATTGATGAACTAGATAGGTTGTTATTAGCTATAGAGCATGTTAAAGAAAATGCATGGGCGAGAGATTTGCTCCGATCGAAATCAAAGTACTTAAAAGACAAAATAATCGACATGGGTTATCCAGGGATCCATTTGCACCATCCTAGTCATATATTTGGCTTATGTATTGGGGACACTTCTCGCGTAAACGAGATTTCGAACTTTCTTAAATCTTGTGGAGTTAACACAGAGAAACATACTCATCCTTCAGTGCCAGAATACCGTGATTTATTACAGTGGAAGTTGAATGTAACAAAAAGTACAACTCAACTCAACAATACTGTAGATATTCTAAGAGAAATGTTGGACAAAAGAGTTGCGCGTCCTTGGAACTGGCCAGACGCCTTTAAAAGACCAAGACTGTTCACTTAGAATCAAATGCCTTCAATATGCATACCAAGTATGTTAACTTAAAATATACGTCAAACGTTTTCAATGAACTAAGGAGCAAAACTGTTATTTTGAATGAAAGATTCTGTTCATTATTTCATTCCAATGGCAGGCATATTGGACATGATCTAATAAAAGACACGCACCTCTTTAAACTGAGATTTGGTAAGACGTTTAGTCAGAGGGACGTCAAATACCTAATAGTCAGTACGCCTGATCCATGGACTTTGCACATATCTACCTATATGATAAGTTTAAACGCAATCTCTTCCGGTTAAAGATTCATTACTGATTAATGTAAATCTATTTTTAATAAATAAACGTTTTATCTATTAAGTACAAGTGTTTTATTTTTAGGTGTAACAATGTTCAGACTACAGAGTGCATTGGTTACGCTCACAGCTGCTATCAGTAAGCTGAAAAGCAATTTATGTTTGTCATTCTGATTTACCTGTCTCTCTTTATTCAACGCTTGCGAAAGTCTTTTTTAGGAATATTTTCTCCAACTCTTCCTCTGGTTATGTTTGTTCTAACTCTAGATCTTCAGTTTTATTGAGATTTGAATGTGAGGGTAGGGGTCGGTTGATAATTGTAAACGGGTGGGGGGACGTGGGAACCGAAGAAGTCCTGGCAGGGAGAATGTTGACGGAGATATATAGAACACGTTAGACTTATAATATAACACCTACGCCATTTTGTTTTTGAAGGGGAGGGACGGGGCATGACAAAGTTCCCTAGCTTAATATCCCATATGGTGCACTTTGTATACATGCATAGGCCTTGATCTACATTGTACGCCATGCCCTCGATCTGCATTATCTTGACTCCAAGGTCATGTAGTCAAGTACAAGTGTTACCTCTCCTAAACGGTGTTAATTAATCAAAGACAACAGAGGTGATTTATGTATCAGATATAGGTATAGTTTATCTGAGGCCAATTACATGTATTTTATCTTTTGAATTTGAAGTATAGAATTATAAATTATCGACAAGGCTAGATTTATCACGAGCTTCTAACTACCATAGAGATATTTTATCGCGCATAGTATAAGGTTATAGGATATGGTATTCCAGTCATGGGGTGCGATTGTGGCATAAAGAAGCCAAAAAAATATTTATTTTGAATTTTACAAAAAATGATGCAATTGATTATTTGTTATGGGGGTTATCGCACCTATCACCCCCCCCCCCCTTGGCTACGCCTATGTATATACAATAGTTCCACTAAACGTATGGCTAAAAAATTGTCGCTAGTGTGATTCCTAGCATGGGTAGCCATATAGTGTTATCAAATCAGATGATGGGGAAATGCTGCGATTATGCATTTTGTTTCATTAAAGAAATAATTCTTCTGGGCCTATGATAACATTGTTTGTCACAAATACAAAAAGGGTTACCCTCAAAAGAATGAATTATTTAATGATCTGCAGGGACTCTCCTCTGTCCTTGTTTGGTATGGTTCTTGTCCCGTTGATCCATCGCTATTATGCAACTTCACCTTGACTCTTTCAACATTCTATCACGTGATATTTCAAGCCTTTTTAGTTTTTACCAGAAACATTACACCTTTTCAAATGCCAGATTAATGAAGAATCCATTTGCAGAGATGGAAGAGTTAATTTTGAGAATTTTCTCTAGATTTTCGCTATTGTCTCATTAATGCAAACGTAATTCGACTCACTTTTGAAACCGTTTGCAATTTGGCAACATTTTTTTGCCAATCAAAAACCTGATGGGTTAAAAAAGATTTCTAACTTTACCATTAGAAAGATGGCAGCAGGGATCCTCTGGATATTCCGATGAATATACATGTACATCTATAAAGCCTATGACTGCCATCTTAATATAAAAAAAGAATGCTATCTAGCTACAAGCCCTCGTGAGTCCCCCCCCCCAAAAAAAAAATACAGTGTTTTGTTGGTGAAGTATATAAGGGGATAGGATCCACAGTTTTCTTGAAGCAATACTACTTGATTTGTTGCTAAACAAGAGGATGTATGTTTTAGTAAATATTAAATTGCCCCCGTACAGTATATATTTCTAACACTAAAATCGAGTTCTTTTCTTTTCAGCATAATATTTTAAGGGATAGGCCTTTCGTTAGCACGTTTTTAGAAAAGATTGTTACCGACAACGTTGTTCCACTCTCCTTTAAATTCAGTGTCGTGGGAGAAACATATTGCATTAGTTAAACAACAAAAACTAGAATGTTCACTGACGTTATCTAACGTCTTAAATTGTGATAGTAGAACACAACTGAATGATTCATAGATCCATAAGCCTTTTCTACAACTTTGATAATAGACAGAGCTCATTGGTTGGTATATGATCATGTGATTTTCATTGATGGTTAACTGCATCACCGCTTAAACGGGAACAGGAAGAAATTTACCGTTATCTAACAATCTCGTCTTCGATATGTTTTTCAACGTGGAAGATGTTCGAGGAAAGAATGACCTTCCTGAGCATGAAAAGTCTTACATTTTCCCATATCATACGGCCTTTTATCGGTTATTTCTCAATGAACAACAAATTAAAATGTCTTAATTTGATGAATATCAATTAGTATGATTTGATTTAAAGAGTGAATTATTACGGTTCCATTGTTTGACAAATGTTTTTCTTGTTATGTTCACGTCAATAAATCTAAAAATGAAACAAAATGATATCGACATACATTGTAAGAAGGCAATGGAATCGTCATATTGAAAGCAGTGCGTCTCGATATATATAATGCCTGGTAGTTAAATAGAATATATTAGGTGTCCCAAAAAAAGTGAGCCGCTTTTTGACAAGTTTTTTCTCCGCAATAATTGATCGAATTTATTTCGAGAAAAACCCTGACGTTATGTGTAGCAATTGGTAGAAATCTGAAAGTGGTCGGCTACGTGTAAAATTTGAGGAATGACAATTCAAAAGTGCATGTCAAAAACTCCAATAAGTGCTATGAGACCTTCATAGGGCTTGTGCCAGATACCATGTGATGGCATCTGTCAATCAGTTTTAATCTAAAAAAGTTTCCTATGTACCAGGTCTATCGATTTGTTCCAATGTACTTTGTATCCAAAATCCGTTCCCTCTTATTCCTCGGTAAAAAAATATCAAAGAATTCGGCTTAATTATTGCTGAGATAATATTTGTCGAAAAGTGGCCCACTTTTTGAAACACCCGATATATATTTACGTTTGGATAACTACGTCAGGACTGGCAGGCAAGTGGATGCAAGGAATACACGAATAAACCATGTTTACAAGCGCCTACGCATTCCAACAACAGATCCAAAACAACCAACACACGAAGTGAATTTGACGGAACGTTTTTCCAAGCACTAGTTACACCAATGTTTTCACTTTCAGTAGTTATAACAATCGTTCTTTTCAGACATTATAGACACTACTTTAGAGGAATGTTCAAAGACTTGTCAACCAGCGAAAAACAATGGATCTCTAAGTATCACCTTGAAGCCAGTCGCGAGGAATGTTTCCAGTCGGGTAAAGACCAATTAGTTTTAATAAACGTTGGGGGACAAGATTTCTCAACATACAAATCTACGTTGAAACGATTCCCAAACACCAAATTAGCAAACTTAAAAAGAAACGAACAATTTTACAATCATGAAATGAGGAAATACTTTTTCGATCGTGATCCGAGGGTGTTTCAATCAATTCTGTGTTACTACCGCACAGGTAAATTGCATCTTCCTCAACACATTTGTGGACCAGCCGTTGAGAAGGAGCTCCAGTTTTGGGGAATCGATGAGTACTCAATCGAACCCTGTTGTTGGGGTAAATATGCCGGCTATGAAGATGATAAGAGGATCTTGGAGAAGATAGCAACAGTTTTTAACCTCCATGAGGAAATACATGTCCCTGTTCCTCCGGAAATATCCAACAGAACAATGTATGGTAAATTTCGAAAGAAAGTCTGGACCTTTTTAGATAATCCATTTTCATCGAAGTCAGCCAAGGTAGGTCCGCTACTCAATTGATGTTTAAAGTTGGTATTTTTTTAAACAGAATCCTTTTGGAATGTTAACGACACGACATAAAGATGTATTTCTAGAGTTGCGCAATAACAATTGTATTTACAGGTTTTGGTAATTGCAATTGTCTATTTCAGAGCTGGGCAATGATGATGTCCCTGATGGTCTTAGTCTCAGTAGCAGTTGCTTGTTTTGACACAGTAGCAGAGTATAGGGTCCCAACAGATAAATCGCCAATAGATATGCCATGGTTCCTGAACACTACAAATTCCAAGATCAACATGCTACAGAACACAGAAATGAACCCGATATTACAAATCCTTGATCACACGCTGAACTGTGTGTTCACGCTTGAACTAATCATTCGATTCATCGTATGCCCGGATAAGGTGGAGTTCTTTAAAAACGTCATGACGATACTAGAGATCATCTGCGTTCTTCCAACATGGCTCGAGCTCTTGATTGTCGCTTCTGGACTAGAACGCAATTACGCCATACGTATAACATTCGATCTTCTCCGGTTTATGTTTATATTCAGGGTCTTTAGGATTTATAAACTAGCCAAACATTATATGGGTCTGAAGATCTTTCTGTTATCGTTGAAGGCATCATGGAAAGAGTTGATGCTGTTGCTTGTGTTTATCGCTCTGGGGATGCTTGTTTTCTCAACACTGATATACCACGCCGAAATTTGGCAGGCAGACACATTTGATAATGTCTTTGTAGGCTTTTGGTGGGCAATCGTTACCATGACGACAGTCGGTACGTATCATTGATATATATTCAAATATAGATTATATTATCTGTTAAATCATTTCTTGATCTATAACATTATTTATAGTGTTTTTTCATTAGTGCTTTTGATATTATTTGAAATTACTATATTAACCATGCACTGTCACATCGTGGCATTAATGCGCATCTATTTTATTATCAACAACCCCTCTTAACTGTCAATAAATGATTAAAGTTCATTTCAATGTTTTATTTCCGTCAATAAAACCGAAAAATAAGCAATCAAGAAACTTCAGCGCAATATTATATGCAAATTATATTCATATTGTACACGAAATGTCGAAGTACTTTGATTGCATTTGGATTGGCTAATTGATGTTTCTGCCATTTTATCTTCGAAAAAAATTAACGTGCTGAAACTCCTTAAATTACAAGAGGCCATAGGTTTATCACATATAAATCAAATAATTATCTGACATATACAAATGTCATTCGTGTACAATATATATGAATATATTCTTTATAATATCTCACTGATGAGGTCTTTTGATTCCTTAATTATTTTTTAAGTTCTATTGACGAAAATAATATACATGTTTAAAACGGATGTAAAGGC